CCCTTACACTTCATAAATTGAGCAATTCTAAGCACGAAATGAAGCCATAGATATCAGGCAGCTGAATTTCGCCATGTGACAAACGAAGCCGGTAGTACATGGAGTGAAGTCTCCTTTGTTTCCAATGTGGGCAAAGAGCATAGCAAGTCGTTCGCTTGACTACAATTAGAATGCATCACAATTGCTGAAAATGTCTTTACATTAAGCACATACGTTTCTGGCTGCATCCCTCGCTTCCTTCAGGTGGCCTTTTTCTTTGCACAGCACCGCCAACTTAATTGCCAGAGAGGCCCGCAGCGCCGGATCATCAAAATCCGTCAAATAGAACACCTGAGGCACGGGATACAATAGACGCTTGCATGCGCTCCCAAGAATGCATCAAGATTTATGACACATGGACACACAAAGTTGCGCTTACTCAACATACTATGTGGCGCAACGTCTCGCAATAGGCGCTTCCAGCCCATCAGGTTTTAAATGGGGACTCTCACGGTTTCTGCATTAATTTTACTGGCAATGCATCCAATCGGGGACGGCAATGTGGGCGCTGTCGGGGAACCATAGGTGAGAACATACAGGCCAAATGGATGCAATACTCGAAACGTTTCGTGAGTATTACAATCCTTGCATAAGCAAATCAGTACTCAGTAACTCCAAGCTACCATCACTCGGTAATTTGAATTTGGTGGCCATGTTCCAGCAAGGAAGTCTGACGGTCACCGAACGTGCCATTAAGTTTCAGCATCAATCGCAAATGTGCTACAAACCCACTCACACCTTTCAGTATTGATGATGTGCGCACGCAACAATTACACGAAATAAATTGTGGGCCCTAAATTTTGACAGGATGACTTTCTGCCGCAGAACGTGCGGCAATGTTTGCGCCGTCGGCGAGGCATAGCGAAGCACACAGACCAAGAAGTGGGCGTACATGTTAAAAACATTGGCTATTCATTGTGAGCTTTTTGTTTCATGTAATAGGAATAATCAGTAATAAGAAATTTGAATTCTGTGACCATCTTCCCGAAAGAGCGTTCGACGGCGAACTATGACATGATTCCGTAGCAGCCTCGATAATCTGCATGTCACCAAACGCACAAATCTTGCAATGTCGATGACTTGCATGCGTAACGATAGCACGCAATATTTGTGGGGCCTAAATGTTGATGGGACGAATTTTGCTGCAGAATGTGGTCCCAGGCTCCAGGAAGAGTTGTTTGTTATATCCACTTCAGGTGTTTCGGGCCAATTCATCTGGAGAATGCATCCTCATCTTTTGCACTTGCATTTGTTTCATTCTCTTTCATTTTTTCTTCCACTTACTTTGACCAGCGCCTTGAGAACCAAAATCCCCAATCCGCTTTTTGCGTCTCTGGCAGAGGTAAGGGAATCTAACATTGCTCGGGACGCTTTCCAGAGGGAGGTTGCGGCTTCCAAAACAACGGATCGGAATTTCTGCGCCCCGACGTCTCCGTGCTCTTCCAGAGATCTCGACAGCTTCTCCATGCTGTCTGACATTTGAAATGCCAAAATGGTCTTGACGCACATATATGTGTGACGCATGCAGTATGCATGGGCATGTACACACCCAGGAGCGTTAATACCACTAGGAAAAAGGGGCCAAGTAACACTTTTGCGAACACACATAAAACACATTTCATCAAAGTTCTGCACGCTAATAGCACAAAAAACACAAACCCGTAAACTTTGTACACGTTTGAACACGTGTTATTTGGCCCTTTTTTCCTAGTGTACGTAGATGCATACGGCCACCAAATTGCACAGACACAATTATGTTTCTGCTTGTGTACATATGTCGAAGGTGCAAGATGGGATCACTGCTAAGTTTTCAAATGCAGCAAATTGTGGATATGCAGCGAAGCGAGTGAAGACATCAGTGCTACGTAGTACATCTAATGCAGAACTCAGTACGTATGTAGAAATATAAATATCAAAATGATAATGGAATCTTATATTGATGTACTCCACATTTGGACTACAAGCAGTACAAAACTTAACAGATGTACAGGATTTTTTCAGGGACTGCAAACAGTGTGCAGTTTGGAATGAGCATGGCGTCCCAGACATAATCTGGAAAGAAAGACCAATGCAATCGAATCTGTAGTATGCAACGAAATATTTGGCGATCTGAGTGCCAAAGCCATCAGGTCCTGATTACTTTGTGTTGCGACTTCATTGCATCTATTTTGAGACTGGGAAAGTAGATACCTAACTTTCGTGTCACGGAACATCCAACATTATGAATATCTCGTTGTGTACGATATAATATGCAACATGCCAGTAGATAAATGCTAGTTGTAATTGTGCTGGTTACATTGTACACACAGACACCTATGCATAGTACACATAGTTCTGCATATGGAATGTATCGTGCGTCATGGATCAAATACGGGTAATTACAATATCTGTTGCTAAGAAAAATCGCCCAGCACAATATCAAGTTCTCAGTACTTGTGTTACTTTTATTCCAAATCGATGCAAATTTACAACAGAATTTGCGAGAAAAGGCCCAACCTCTGAGGGCGGGGACGTGGGGACGCAGTCACGGACGTCTTCCCCCCCCCCCCCCTGGGGAGCCCTTGAAGCTACTGGCCGCGTAGGGACGTGGGGACGCGCAAACGCTCCTCCTCAACCACCGAGCGATGAAATTCGGTGATGCCCGGCGACGTGGGGTCCTAGGGATACCGGGGATGTGAGGCCTCTGCTAGGTGGGGACGGAACTTGGGGACGCCTGGTGACGTGCGGTGACGGGGACGTTGGGGATGGAAACCGCCCTCTATAGAAGGCGACATGGATGCTGGGAAGAGCGTCAGCATCGTGGCCGGCCCCGAGGGCGAACTAGAAGGAAGAAGGAACCGGGTGCTGGAGAGCACCGGCTGGAAAGTCGCCCCGAGGGCGTTGAAGGGCTGGGCGTCTGGAAGACGTCAGTCGAGTGGCCAGCTGCAAGAGTGGCCCAGAGAACGGAGCTAGACGTTGAGGACATTAGCAAAAACAGGGACGTCAAGGAGTCGTCAACTGAACAACGCATTTAAGGAAGAGGCAACAGGGAACCGGGCAACATGAGCCAGGCTGGGAGTGTACGGAGTCCGTCTGCCAGCCAAGTTGGAGCTTCGCCGGACCAGCTGCAAGCGACCATTGAGCAAGCGCTGGGAAGCCGGTGGAACCAGTTGGCGAAACACCTTGAGATGCAACAAAATGAAGCTCAACAATGCATGCAAAGCCAGCTTGAGGAAGCCATGGCTGCTGTTGTGGCGCTGAACAGAGCAGGAGTGCGCATTGTTGGGGAAAGACCCAACCTACCCACCCTCAACCCACCGAAGCCACCAACGTATGAGGGAGTGTGTCAAGGAGCATTCACGCAGTGGGCATTTCAAGTCAAACAATACCTACGCCTAATGAACGTACACGATGAGGCATACAGAGTGGAATTCGCCCCATGTAGCTACATGGCGACGTCCCCACCCCAGGTCGGCGATGTCCCCGCCCCCCGTCCCCAGGAAAATCCGGGGATGTCCCCAGATATTGGGCCTCTAGTGGAATTTGCAGCTGTATTATGAAACAACTGAATGGTACACGTGCATTCAATTTATGTATTTCTTGCTCTACCTGTACTCGATTTCGAAAATACTGCAACATGTAAGAAATAAGTGCAAGCTTCTCCAAAAGCGACGGTCTATAAGCGAATGGGAAAGGGGCGACAGCCAACGCACCTTCTGTTTGACAGTCCTGCAAACAGCGCAGGCTTTCAATAACCGTCGCCACGCCTAGGAGAGCTTCTCGAGACGGAGGATCTGCAATGCAATTATCAACCCCGTCCTTTGACCCTGCTCGCAAACGAGCACATGCGATAACGCAATCGAGCTCGTCTGTCTTGTCGTAACGGTAGGCCACCTCCATCAATCCCTACGTGCGGGGCATTGCGGGATTGTTTTCTAAAATGCATGGTCGGAAGATGATTCGTCACTTTGATTACTGGTCAGAACCGCAAGTTTCGTCCAAAGAGGGCTTTGATGTCACGCACTGGGCTACCTACTTGGACTATTTGAGATGCTTCAGTGGCTATGAATTAACGCGATCTCCTAAAAAGCGGACATCAAACAACCAATTTGACATTTTTTGATATTTCGCACGGAATCCTTCCTTGAGTGAGATGAGGCAGTGGAAGAAGAATTGAATGATGATCGCCTCTCTTGGTCACGATCATGCATCATGATTCAAAGCGGTTAATGGATAGGTAGGTGGGGAATGAAGCGCGTCTACCAAAAAGGAAAATTGATCAGCCTTGACCATTCAATTGCAGTAAAGCATACCAGCCACCAGGACCACCGTCAAAATGTATTGCATCGTTCTTGTGGCTGAGTACCTGATGCAAAATAGGCGTCAGCGTGCGGGACACCGCCTCTAATGATTCTTTTTGGTCTCCGTCTTCTCCCTTTTCAGCTGCCACCACCCCTTCAGACTCCGCAGGGTTTCCTGCGGTAAAGCAATTTACACCAGTAGAAAACAGCCTGTTTCCGATGGCAATTGCGACGCCATTTGACGCAAATTAATGCCACCGCAGCCGCTTTTATGCCATCGCAATCATTATGATCATCACTTCTGTTCAAAATGCCATCGCAGTTGGCATTTCAAACATGCCGTTTTCTGCCAGTGTTATACAATTGAAGATCTGAAGGTCGCCACCTTTCAAAGTACTAAATTACCTCCACTACAACAAGCAAAAATGCAACCAGTTAGGATAACTTCAAGTTTCGTTATTTCAAGTTTAATTGGGATAATTTCAAATTGCATTTATGCAATCTGAGATAATGTTTCCCCAGAGATTAGACACTGCGGGAAGCCATAAGGGCAAAAAAGCAAAGGCCAAGAAAATATGGATGAAAAGACCTCTGGCAGTGACAATCTCGTCGAAATGGTGTCCCCCTTATGAAATCGGTCTCCGAGACAATGAAAGCAGTGCCGATGTAAAATTACATGTTTCAATTCCGTCCTCTCGTACCCTCCAGGGCCTCCTCCTCTGTGCGAGCCGTCAGCGCCTCGGATATTTTCGAAACCAGGGGCTGCGCAAGGCTCCACAGCATATCGAACGCAGGTCCTTTCTCCGCCGGAATTGGACCGCGCGACGCCTCCCCTTCCCCTCGCTCCAGGAATGCCTCGACTAGGGCCTCAATGCGCGAATCATCTGCAGGAATGTGCGTCTCCAGCAAAGACCTCAGATCCGCGGAGTTGCGCGCCACCTCGGCGCCGTATTTCAGCCGGAGAACTGCCAGGCCGGCCCTCGTGTTCCGGCATGATTCAACCAATTCCTTTGGGGGCGGCAGTGGGTCCAACTTGTACAATTCCTCAAGCTCGTCCACCTTTTCAGCAACGGATCAAATGGGTAAGTTTATGGTGACGCATCAGACGCGCACCCAGGTAAGGGATTGGAGCAGCCCTTCGGGTGAATATGGTACAATACTCGGAGCTTGGTATTTCCCCGCCTTTCCTGGAAACATTATTTCAGTTCTAGCTTCAGCTTGTTCTGTTGGATAGCTTGTGTATCTGGCAGTTTCAGCGCATTTGCTTTAGGAACCAGTCGGGCGTCCTATCCTGCCAGAAAACACACTGTCAAGGAGCCGCAGATGTGCCCCAAAGCGAGGGCAGAGGTGTCTCGACATAACTGCCCGGGCAATACATCATCCAAAACGAAAATTTCTACTAAATGATCCCACTATTCTAGTTGCACCTTTTCCTGCTCCGAAAGGACTTCGAAATACTGATAAACTTGGGCTTCCTTCGAAACCGGTGCAAGCATCAGTTCCTGTCACGCTGGGATTACGTCCATTCTCCTACTTGGTGCGCCCAGGTCCAAGTCGAAGGGGTAAAGAGAGAAACAGCGGCTGGTTGCAATTTCCCTTTTGCCCAGGGAAGCGGCCCGGCGCACGAACACCTACCCACCTTCTCCCAGAAGCAGATGCGGATTATCGATTATCGATTACCGACTGTACTGATGTACCAAACACGAGTGAGACGAATACTGGGGCAAACAGTGGACATACTGTGAGGCTGGGTGGCGACAAGCCCTCGGTGGCTGACACGCAGTTAACGAGATTTCATCAGCATCATCATCACCACCATCACCACCTTCTTCCAGAAGCGCTCCACGAATCTGGCGGCTTCCTCCCGCGCCCCCATGCGCGCGCAGCACTCGCACACATCCTTGCACGCCGCCAGCCGCCTCGGCAGGTACGCCGCGTTTCCGAAGGTGGGGTTCGAATCCAGCGCCAGGCTCGCGAACACCAAGAACGGCAGCGCCCGCTGCGCGAACCCGGTCGCCACCAGCAGCCCCGCCGCGGCGCGCATGTGCACGGCGCCGTTGTTCACCAGCCAGTACAGCTCCTCCCACTGCGCCGCCAGTTCCACACCCTCTCTGAACCGGTCAAGCGCGTCAACCACTCGATCAACCGATGCCCCCGCCAGCAGCTTTGGGTCCCTGCCCGTGGTCACCGCCAGGCCGCAGGCCGCGGCCCCAAAAATGGCCTCCACGCGCCGGCGCGCCGCCATACAGGCCTGGGAGTCATGGCAATCGGCGGTTGGCTGTGGAACAAGCCGTAAAACTGTCCGGTAGCACGCCGACAGGGCGCAGCGTGGCTCGCGCCTGGCCCGCAGCTCGCGGCCCAGCTTTAGGATCCTCGGAACGGCCGCCGAGGGCGGCAACCTGGAGGCGTAATGCGACACGGAGTCGGCGAGTTTTTGGCAGTGCCGCCAGCGTGCCAGCTCGTGCTCGTGGGACAGGGGGGCGTCGCCGCGGCGGGGCAGCGCCTTGAGGCCCCTGGACACCTCGTCGTCGAATGCAGCCGCCAGCGTTGCTGCTTCGGCCATTGCGGCGCCTTGGTTCGAAGGCGGGATAGGGTGGGGAGAAGAATTTGGTGTATGTGTGAGCGTCGGGGCTGCTGTGGCTTTGCCTCACGTGCAAGGGTGGGGAGGGCCTGCGAGCCTGGCATTGCCAGGGACAGAGGCTAGCCCTGTACGTGGGCGCAGCTTACTGTGTGCCGAAAAAGTTCATGGTAGAAAAAACTTGTGCGCATTTCGCCCTCGAACTAACATGCGAAAACATTTCCGCGCGAATTTTTCTCGTCTGCGAAATACGCGAACAATTTTACGCGCGATTTGTTTGAGTACGCAATGTGCACTTGTTGTGATAATCATGAGCAATCATCATGGATTTTTTTTGCATGAAAAGGGAACGGTGTATCTGGTTATTATGCATTTGTCGCAGATGACACCATTCGACCGGAATAATGAGATCAATTACAGCAGCGCGAATCATGAGGTTTGATACGACAGATTTCCTCATGGTGATCAGTTTTGAGGCTGGTAAACTAGGAATCTGCTGGCTACTCGTCGCTTCGGTGCTCTAAATTCCATAAAAGCATGAATGAATTATGACGTGTGGTATGTGTCACGCCATTGAGAATAAAGAAAATGTGGACACGATGCCAAGGCCCCTTTTGCCCGTGAATCTGATGGCTATCTCGCAAACAAGCACTTCGTGCGCATGGTCGCCCAACATCTACCTGGGAATTGGAAAGCGCGGGATGACCGAATTGTACACACTGTTCTGCCGCTGTTGTAACTAGAACTGATTGAGCAACAGTTGGACACATAAAGAGGTGATAAAGATTTAGAAAATGCAATAGCGACATTGACAAACGGCCTGGATATAAGGGACAGACCTCCTTTTGTCCCTTTGCTCGCTTATCAGCTATTGCCGTGGACTCAAGCCTGCGGTCCCCAGTCAGCTGTCGCCAGCCCTGTACCCAGCTTGCCTTCCTCTCCCCATCGTCTTGGGTTTGCATCGGGTACATCGTCTTTGGACCGCCTCGTTGGATTTGCGTGGAGTTTTCCACCCATTACGTTTTGGATCAACAAATTCATCTGGCTCGAGACACCTTTCATGTGGTCGTGTCTGGCGTCACGGGTGGATAAAATGAACGGATGTGGAAACGCCAAATCGTTCTTGGATGTGCGCGATTCGGTCGTTGCCTGCAAGGGCACGGGCGGCGCTTTGCCTTGTCGAAGGCATTTTCAAATGATTCCCAGCTGTCTCACCGCCTCGAGCACAGTGCTTCTTGATTGTTTCATGTGTGGTGTCGACAGCCATGGCAATTCCCTGTAAACAGAAACCTGTTGTGATGCATTTGGCATAGCGGATTCGCATGTCGTTACATAAATAAGTGTTGAATAATACCGACCTTACTTGGCTGCTTCAAATCCAATACTCCCCTTCACGCTTTAAGGAACCAGGCTTGCTGCCTACTCTACGGCACTATAACACGGTACGCTAGTGCATATTAGTGTACTAAAGTTGGTAATTACGCGCGCGATTGAGCGTAAAGATTTTGTACAAGGCCTGGATCGCCACCAGAATGATGTTAAATAGTGTCACCCCATTGCCTCCACAGCCAAATCCAAGTGCCTCTTGCACCTCTCCCATGTAATAGGTGACGGCAGTGTTAAGTGAGCATTAAACGATTGTGTTTTAGTCAGAATTGCGCATACAATTCCTGGATGTTCCCAATAGCTAAATTGCCATTTCAAGTTAACGTATCAATGCGAACATATAACTTTAATTGCGCTTTTTGTACTATCGACTGGTTTATAAAGGAGATAATTCATATGCCCAATGACTGCATCGAAAAATTCTGTGTTAGATCCTCGAGCGCAACGGTGTTATCAGCCGACTCACAGCCGCTGCTGCCACTGAGCAGGCTTGGTTTTTACGTTTACGTTTTTACGTTTATGTTTTTACGCGTAAAAACGTAAATTTGCAAAAGGGCCTATTTTTACGGCTATTTTTACGTTTTTAGGGCTCCCTGGGACACCCAGGTTATACGATGAAAGTTTCGTACAATGGTCAGTCATCCGCCAACTCCAGCACCCACAGCACAATGTCCGCCTCAGCCTTGGCAAGGGCGATGATGGCGCTTAAGAAAAATTCGTTTTCTGCCCCTTCCAGGGCACCTAGCTGCCAGTCTCCGGACTCCGTAAGTCTGTATGTACTGTCCTTATGTACACCGGACAGTTTTTACGTTGTATTTACGTATTTTACGCATTTTTACGCGTAAAAACGTAAAAACTGTTTTTACGCGTAAAAACGTAAATACGATCAGTTTTTACGGCGTAAAAAACAAGCCTGCCACTAAGGCAGCAGCATCGGCTCTCTTCATCCACTTTCATAGAAACCCCGCAGCAGCAGTTGGTGAGAAGCGCTATTTTCACTTCCAAACATCCTGCGGTCGGCCAGAAGTGCCCCTCGGGCGGCATGGCTGGCGAGGACCGCAGCCAACTGAAGAAGCGAGAAATCGGCTCGGGCACAGATCGATCAAAGTCGCACATGGCGCATAACTACTTGTGAGTACAAAACACCTGCGCTCACGTTTGTTGCCCTCAGATACTATGCTCGCTAGTTATGCCCAACGCCATTCAAAAAGTACTCCAACCGTGTAACTAAACACGGAAGGCAGCGGCTGTCATTGCAAACTCGTGAATAGGGCCGAATACGCAGCAAAGTCCTGCGATAGATGAAATGGCCAGCCCAACGTGGACCCCTCATCTGAGCAACCGCCACAATGATGGGAAGAGCCGCCGCCGAGAATCTCGGCCCGAGATCACTCCGCATCTCCGCATGGCTTGGCGCTGCTCGCTTCGCTTTGAGGAGATGGCCCTTCTTCCTTCAACTCGTCCCTAACTTGGACCAGGGCTTTCCCCAGGAGGTTCGATCCCCTCCACTCAGATCGAGACGTAGTGGCCAATGCCTTTTCTGGTCCCAAACCTATGCCCCACACTCTGGCAAGACATTTGAAGACATTTAGGCGAGGAGCCATTCAATTGTTTTTGCACCCCAAACCAGTGTAAAATGGCAGAAGCAATCTCCAGATGACTGGTGAGCAGAACTTCAACAAAACTCAAAGGCATTCGCAATATTGGTGATAGCATTCAGGTATGACAGAGTCTGATGCCAAGGATTTGACCTAAGCTGGGAAAGAGATATGGATTTCAGCAATGCAAAACAGTGACGACAGACTGCCAGCATGCGAGGAAATCTCGTTGTGTCGGTGCGCATCTATCACACATTCTACAATGAGCTGAAACGCAGAGCATCCGCACACACATGAATTTGTTAATCAGCTATTACGTGTTGCATCACCTTCCATTAGGGCAATGTCAGTAACAGAATGGCTGGTGGGAACAGAAAAGCTCCAGAAGTAAACGCTTGCGGATGGCAACAGCTTCAGAAGTGTCAAATTGGCCAAGTGCTGTAAACGCAGATCTGTCTTTTTTTTCTCTCACCTGTCATTGGGCGCGGCCTCCGCAATTGCCAGGTCGCCCGTCGACAACAGGATGTTCATAAGCTCCTCATTCTGTGAAAACTTCAGCCTCGTACCCCGCACCACGATGTCGTACTTGTTTTGGTCCCAAGTCGCTTCGTCGAAGCCTCTCACGCTGCGACCAAGGGCCTTGACCGCGCGAGGCTGGGTCGTTTCCACGATTTTCTCCAGAGCCTCGCTGTCTCCGAATAGCTTCGCCTGGAGGAAATACAGCAGTGGAACAAAGTTCACGCGGCAAGTTGGGGCCCTTTAGGGTGAAGGCAAACCTGTGAACCGACCAGCGGACCGTAGAAGACGCCAGTGCATGTACCGGGGCTTCAAATCAAGCCTGCTCATCTGTTGGCAACGTCAGTGACACGTGTCAATAGCTTTCGTAGCTGGGCATAGCAAGGGCTTGAAACTGACTATTTTAAATTGGGAGATTTTGCGACTATGCCCAGATTCAACGGGTCCGCGGCAGTAGCATTTCATGAATTTCGCCAACACAAAAGCGATCAGAGGGGAAGACGATTAAAGACCATATATCATCGCATGAAAGCGCCCATGGATGGCGACAGCAGTTTCAATCTGTTGTCGTCTGTACTGGTAGAGAACTGTGATTGTGAAGAATTCGCCTGGACAGGTGTTCATTCCAGAGCTGGCGCGCAAGGCGCGACATCTGCACCGACATCAGTGCATCAGCGTATAATGACACCAGAGCAGTATGTCGTGCTTTGGTGTTTTGACTTGGGTTTTTTCACTGAGCGTTTGCGGCGCTTCCAAGCAGCTACAAAAGAGAGACCCAGCACCAAAATCACTGATGGCTAGTCAGCCAACCACTCACTCGATCATTCCATCATCATTCCATCATCTTGCGTACCAATCACTCCATCACAAATTACCTTCCCGGCCATCATGTACTGCTCGGCCGAAGAGTACGCCTGGCCATCCTCGGGGTCCATGAAGTGGGCGGGATACCTGCAAACCAGCCACCACACCGCCCTCAGGCAACACCCCCCCGAGTCCTCACACCTCAGGCCACAAACTTCGTGTCACGAAGTGGCCACGGTTTGGCACCGTTCGAAGGTCCTGGCATCCAGTGGCGCAGCGCTGCAGGGAAGCTCACAATAGGCCGTTTGGGCTCTCCCACTGCCCCACAGGGGTTGCATATTTTACGTCCATACTGCCACCATCTCTGAGTCTCCTCCACATGCAGGAGAAGACCAATCCAGCTTCACTGGCCGGATCCCCCTCACCCCCTTCCGTCCAAGCGCCCGGCCGACGTTCAAGCACACCCACCCACTCCGCTGGCGCTGCCACCGCGAGTGTCCATCCCCACAACGAAGAGGCGCGCTCTCCGTCGACGCCCTCTTCAAAGCGGTTCCCGTCCAGCGCACTCAGTCCCCTTGGCTCAGGCAACGCATGTTCATCATCTCGACAACGCGCACACCGCCGTTCATAAGCGGCCGAAATATTTGGCCAGCCGGCCCTCTTGCGCCCCTTGGCCGCATTGCCAAACACAGCTCGGCTCCAAAAACCCCGTCGCGTTGCTGCACCAGTGTCAAACATGCATCCCCCCTCCCCCCGATTGAGCCATCATAATTCTGTTCATGAATTCAGCGAGAAGCGGCGAAATATGTCGCCCCCCACCACTGGCTGAAGACGTAGTAGGGGCAGTCCTCAGGGTAGTTCTTGGGCACCGAGCTCCAGAAGTAGACGCAGCCCTTGTGCACGCATCCCCGGAGCAGGGCGGAGGCGCCGCGACGGCCCTTCGAGCCGCCCGCGCGCTTGGACATGGCGCCACGAAATTTGGCAAAGTCGTGGCGACGGCGATGGGCTCGTCTGTGTCGGTGAGGTTCCGCGCAGCGTTGAGGAGGTTGGGGTGCGGGTGGCAGTGGGGCGGTGGGTGGGGGACGGAGTGTGGGAGTGAGGCACGCTCTTTGGTGGGAGGGGGCAGGGAACTGGCAGCCGTGGTGAAGCTGTGGGGAATGCGCGTGTCTTCCGGCTTTAATCTGTTGGTAATGGGCAGTTTTCATTGTGACGATTGAAGTGGGCGGGCAGGGTCGAGGGGCCCCTGGCTGGGGACCGCAGGCTCGAGCACACGGCAACGCTTCACAGCGGAGGACAACAGGGATTCTGTCCCTTATGTCCGGTCCGTTCATCAGTGTCCTTAACTCAGTTCCTATCGTCTCATCACCTCTCAATGCGTCCAGCTGTCAATAGTACCCGATCAGTTCTGTTTATAACAGCGCGAAGGTTGGCTGCTCGGCCATCGGTTTCGAATGAATGGACAGGAGCTCACTCAATTTTTACACGCGTAACAAGCGAAAGAAAAACAATGAACTGACGCCACACGGTTGTGAGAATAGCTGACATGTACTCTGCCACTCTTTTTCTTGACTACCCAGTCTTTTCGGTGCTCAGTTCTCGGGGTTTAGGGGGCACCAAATTACGACAGTGAGTGGGATCTTGGCCAAGAAGACTGCGCGATTGAATGGCTGCCCACGCGTGTGCACACACACTTGTGCGCTCCAGGCAGCACATCATCATGATGTGCCGTGCAGCTGCAGGGCACATCGAGGCCACCGTGCTGGCGTCGATCACGTGATTGCAACATGGCTCCATTGGCGGGGACCCCACGGCCCGGATGTTGACGCACAGCAGAGGATGCCGTTCACAAGACAGCACCGTATACATGCACCATGAAGGTTTTCACATGCACGTATGTGTGGAAACCGTATGCGGAAATCGTATATGCCAGTTTGAAAAGCGGGTAGGCAAGCTTGCTCAAGCCAAGACCTGCCCGGTCACCTTGTGATGGCTATCTGTGAGTGGTGGTCATCACACTGAGATGGCCAGCGCAGGTGTCGATATATGCCGATGCTTCCAGTCATAAAGGCAGGTGTCCACGAGCTCCAAACAGCCTCGCGGAAACGGCAAGGATTGTTCGCAGTCCCATTCTAGACGCCTCCCAATCAGGACAGAACCAAAGGTCGTGAATGTACTGGAACGTCACCCTGTCCACATGGGAGATGTCTCTGCCCATAATGCTTTGCTGTGGTGGGACATCCATCAACATCTGCAGTGCACGGCAATTCCCAGCATGCAAATCACCCCTGCTGAAGATTCTGGTGGTCTCGATTCAAAGCACAATTCGCTGCAGTTCATTTGGTCCCAAGAGCGGCGCCAGGCAAATTGTCCCGTCATGCAAGGCTTGAGCTTCCAGTCATAGTCGTTTCCAGTATCTTCTTCATTGCTCCCCCATGATCCACTTCTGGTGCAGCCTTGCGACTTCTCCATTGCATGACTTTTTCAGCAGTTTGCAGGGACCTGGTGGCTTTCTTACATCCGTTTTCCCCTTCCTTTTCTTCCCTTCTTGTTCTCGTCGATTCCTAAAATAACAAAACATCAGGTCAAATCGGCGTCCTGCCTACGCGTCGCAGTGCTACCTCCCATACGAGCGATCAGGGCGGTCAGAGGCACCTGACGTCCACGATGCGCGCAAATCAGTCCACAAGGGCACCCTCCCGTCGTGGCACGTCGGAAATCCAACCCACGCGGATTTCATGCAATCGACTGCATTGATGTCGATGCTATAACGTCACCGCTAGTCAGCCTATCCCGAACACCAAGCGCAAACTCCAGACAAAAGCAAAAGAACAAGACCTCGGTTTTCAGTAAATTGGCCGACGCCAGTCTGCGGCGAAGAGAAAGACGCCCGATTGATGTCAACAATTTCTCGAATCTTTCTTGACAAGAATGCGTCGCTCTCTGTGGACCTATATACACTGCTTTCCTTGATGCTGATGCTGTTGGGGTTTCAGCCAATTATTGTGTGGTCATTGCAGCCCGGTGGCAGAGGGACGCCGTTTGACTATCTGAGTCCACCACGGACACGCAACGCGACCTGCGCGTCGACGTGTTCGCGTTGCCTGTGTGGTTTTTCATTCATCCCGTAATTCGACATCTTCTGACGGGAGAGAAGGACGGAATGTCAAAAGCATGCCGTGACGTCGGCCTGCCGCCACACACCCGCGCCCCAGGTCATGATTCCCCCGACCTCAAATCGGTTCCCCCACCTCCTCTCCATCCCCCGGCAGGGGAAACCGGCCGCCAACCACTTGAAAAGGAGGAATCCCGAACCGGAAAAAAAGGTTCCTTAGCGCACGGGCGCCGCAATCGGGCCCCCCCATGCCCAAATCCGCGGGCCACGCGCAGCGGGACGATCGCCATGGCGGGATCGCCATGAATCCCAGAATACATGACGGGCGCGTTGACGCAGGCCGAGGGCAGGCCTCGCCCATCAGGGCCAATGCTGAGGGCATTGGTCTGTCGATTCTGTCGCCACGGGCGCTCGGCAAGGGGCCTCTGACAAGGGGGGAGGGCGTGGGGCCGCATGTGGGCGGCGCGGACTTCTGCGGCTGTTTGGAGGGGTCGCTGGAGAAGCGAAGCATGGCGGAGGGGGCCAAGGGAGCGAGGGGGAAGCTCGGGGCTTGTGCGGCGGGCGACCCCAACAAGCCGGTGAGGGACACGAGCTTGAAACCGGCACCAATTTTGGCGTCCAATGGTGCTGAATGTTGGTGTGGTGCGTGGCTGCGCCGCTGCGCCTGCAGCCTGTTGGATGGGGACGAATAACCTGGGTGGTGTGGTCCGTTTCGGAGTAGGCTTGGAAGGGGGAAATCGGCACCGAATTTGGTGCCGGACGGACCTAATTTGGTGCGGTCCGTGGCTGTGCCCCGCTGCGCCTGGCGCTGGTGGGAGGGGGGGGTGAGATTTGTTGCGGACAGAGCAACGGGTCATGCAAGGGGACCCCGTCCTCAGCGGGCGTATGCGAGAACCTTTGGTTGGATGAGAGGAAAATTTCGGGGTGGTCGTGGTCCTTTTCGGTGTGGGCTCGCAATCGGGCCAGCGGGATTGGCGACTTGGATGGGCACAAGACGACGCCGATAGTGGATGAGAAGGTGGGAGGGGACCGGGAATCTGCCAACAACATTGGAGGTCGGGGGCCCAGACGGGCGTTGGGTGGTGTGCTTCCCTGGGCTGGCCGTGTCGGCGGTCGCGGCCTGGTGGATGGAACGCGGCAGGCAGGGAGTGTGGCATGAGCCTGGCGGAACGGGCGTCCCAGTGCATTCGAGCCTCTCTTGGGGCCGCTCCATGCCGATCGCATCGCAGCGCGGCGGCCGGCATGGGAATCCCCACGCCGCGACTGGATTCAGCCCTTGCTGGTGGACAGAGCTGCGCCCACGGGCCAATGCAGGGCCCGTTGCGTGTCGTTTTGGGAAAAGTTTGTCCCGCTTGGACGAACGGCGCTCATCCGGCCGAGTGGGAGGATGCGCGGCAAGGCGCAGCGCCTTTGCGCTTTATCACTGAACAACGCCGCAAGATACACTGGACCTCAGATTCCCAGAAGGCACCCCATTGGTCACATAGCATACGCTTGACAAAGCTGATCTGGTAGAAATCGCCAGGCGTCAATGAAAACTTCAGCAGATGGGGGTGCAGCGGGAACAGTGGGCGTTTTGCAGACTACAAGATGTGCGGATGTGCATTTCTGGTGCACGCACGCCGACGGTGGGAGCTGCCCCAGCAGCAGCGCTCTGAATTCATTGCAGGATGCCAAAATTTACTGAATTTGTTTGGGAATCAATGTAGCAAGTGGCCAAATACCATTCATTGACAAAAAGTGCAGTGGGATTCGTTTCTGTGATGGCATACATTCTGGGAGCGGACGCTTCTTGTGCTGCAAGGAGTTTGCAGCATCGGGCACTGCGGAAGCACCACAGTTGCACAATTCCCATTTGGGATCATTGCAAGTGGCTGTATTTTTCTCTCCTATTGTTGAGAGTAAATCATGACAGCAATCACAACTATCTTTATTCATTAACTATTATCAGGTTGCATGGAATTTCAGCGCCTGAAAAAGCAGCGTGCATCTCCGTCCCTTGCTATCAGACCTAGGAATAAGTCCTTTGCCTTGATAACCATGCTTCGAGCGATTGATATGTATTGTTGTTCAAGTTGCTTAACTACTCGTGTTTTTGCATTGTGTTGGCAGGTCGGCTGGCGTTTATCCTTGTGGCTTTTGTCCATCGCCTCCGTGTGCGCGGTTTCGTCCATTGTGGGCTATGACACGGGATGGGCCCACTTCCACAAGGACCACTACAAGCCCAAGACCAACACCTACCTGGCGCTCGTGCTGACGATCATGGGAGACTACCCGGACGTGGCGGAGAAGATCCCGGCCAATCTGGTGGACATCGTGAAGCCACTGCTGCCCGCTGTCAACATCAGCATCGACATACAGTGAGTACGGCATAATATGGTCCTTTGCAGTTTTGCGATTCTGCGATTTTTACACAATTTCTGCGCGATTTCTCCACGATTTTACACCATGTAATATGGCTGATTGTTTAAAATGTTGTGCGCGGTGCATGGGCAAATCCAAGATATGCCTGGATGTTCGACGAGTATGTTCGACCAGTACTAGGCTGAGTTCGGTCTTAGTCAATTCCCCTTGAGGGTGGAGAAATTGGTGTGAATGGACTCCGCAATAATGTAACGTGCGACAGTCAGCCTTTGGCCGACAGCACCTCTGCGGGATGGTGTTTGTCAGCATTAGGGAATACAACATGTTGGATAGAATGTGTTGGAGCATATTGCATTCTATTTATTCTGCGTACACTTGCAGCTATGCATGTTATTCCATTTGCATAATGGGAGTGATTGATGTGTTGTCTGCCCAAGATTGGGGTGGCTGGAGCGAACTACCATCCTGGACCTCCACTCCGACGAACTGTCTCCCGTCATCACCAACTTCTTGGAGAAACCGGAACTAGATCCGTACAGAGATCAAATAGATCAGGTGGCTGTGGACAGAAGAATGGTCATGCGGAATTTCTACAAGGTGAGATGCGCATATATGATATACCAGCCAAACATTCTCAGAACCGTGAAGAGATACGGTATACAGTTTCTTCAGTGCATGTCTCAAGCGAAGAAGGGAGCCTACGACAGCGCTATTGCCACGTTGATTGAATAATTGATTGATGTTTGGCTTGAATTATTGATTTAATTTCCGTTTGATTGATTGACTGATTGAAAGCAAAATGCAGTTTTCAAATGCTGCTAGCCCATGTTTTTCAAGCTTACATTACCTGTGTTTTGCGTGGCGTCTGAGCATCTGTGTTTAGAACGATTGGGCAATGCCATCAGTCGTCGCCGTACTGTTGAAACAAAGAAAGAATGGAACTGGAGAACCTTGGATTTCGTTTTGGGTGTGGAGAATGTCATGTTCCACAAAAGCCATCGACTGCAGATGTACTGCAGATGTACTCTATCTGGGTTTACGCATCACGTGTACACAGGATACTGGGGTCGAAGCGCAGTGGAGCGGAGCGATCTCTGCCGCCCTCCTGGCCGTTTCTATTTTCCTGTCGGTCTCCCTTTTCGCCGCCTATGCCTTCACCCGCGCCAGCAAGGGGCCGCGCTCCGTGCAGTGTGGCCGGTACTGTTTCATGGTGATGAAGCTCAGCACGCTGCTGGGGTAAGTGGCATGCTGGAAATGGGTAGGGGTCTGGGCAGCGCCCGTTCTCAATCCTTGTTGAAGTGACCTAACGTGCGGCGCCATTTCAACCAGGATTGAGAGCACGTGACGCAATGGGCGTCCCTCTCCTGAGCGAGATAGCACTGAAGTTCGCCCATAACTGTAATTAAAATTTTTTGCAATTATGGGAAAAGAAGACAATAGAAAACACTGATTATAACAGTGTTTTCCATCACGCTGGTGATGCGAAGCATTGAGCACTTGAGCGCTGTACAAGGGGGAATAAACTGGCGCCCTTCCAGGGGCGAGCGGGGGACATTAAAGTGCTTGAAGAACTTGAAGTTAACAATTTGGCTTGAGCTGGGTGTGGTTCATATTTGGCCAGTCGGTGAAAGCACGGATGCTTATTTTGGCGCGTCAGTGCAGCTGTTTTGTCGACAGTGTGATTTGCTGCATGCTGCCCACTGGATCATGCCCTTGCGCCAGTGTGTCAGTTGCACCCTTTGCAGCCAGAAGTGGGCCCTCAATTCAGCACACTGTCTTTGACCCCACACACACATGGGAAAATGGTATTTTACAGATGCGCCAGCGCGCTCACGTGCATTAGCTCAGATGGAAACGCTGCCACTGCACGCTTTCTGTTGTGTTGTGCACACTAGGGAAAAATGGCCAAATAACACGTGTTCAAACATGTACAAAATTTACAGGTCTGTGCTATTTTCGTTTTTTAGCGTGCATAACACTGATGAAATGCATACATATGTGTGCTCAAAACGTATTATTTGGTATTTTTTCTTGTGGTATTGCCCCGAAATTGCTACGCACACAGCAGAAAGTCGCGCTGTCAAGGGGCGGACGCAAGCGTGACGTGTCGAAAAGGCAAAAGCGCAAGTTCATCATTTGCACAACGCAAAAAAAACGGGAAAAAAGACGCGAAAAGCGACTCCGAAGAAGCAGTGTTTTGCACTTGCTCCGATCATCGTCAATTAGTTGCAAGGCCTGTGCTTTGTCTTCTATGACTAAGGCAATGAAGGGAACTCGACGGCGATCTGAATAACTCCGTCCGCAGGCCGCTTCTGGTTGCCTCCGTCATTGCCCACTACGTGGCGCTGGGATACGGAACCCACAAGCGCACGGAGGAGAACATCATCTTCGAAGAGGGCTTTATTTCGTGGCCATCGTGGGCTTGCGTGGCCGCCCTCCTTTCTGGAACCATGTGGACAATTTCGGGAATTTTGGTTGCCAAAGGTGGGGAAACGCCGCCAAGGACTCATGCAGCGAGAGATGGTATGGTCTGGTGCTTCTGTAAAATCAGCTGCTCGTGCACGCACAAAGTATTGTTTGTGGCCTGGGTAGGCTGAGGGCAGCGGGTGCTAAACACGTGACACTGGGCCAAACGGACACAAAAACAGGGGTAATGTACTATCTCGATTCTAACATTGCGGCTTTCGGATTCGATTAATTATTTCATTATGGAAACAGCAAGACGCCCTCAGGATTACTTTGATCGAGCGATTCAAGCAACATGCAATAGTCTCAGTGCGCAATGGAGAGGGCACGCAGCACAATGCAGGAGTGCGCCCTGCACCAGCAGTTTGTCCGAGTTGGTGATCCCGCCACTGCTGTGCGCCCAGGGTCCCTTCCTAATCCTTCCACACTGGCACGACGATCAGGCGGCAGGACTGCACGCGATCGGGGGAGGGCGTAGCTCCAATGCTCTACGCCGCAGTTCAGGTGCGGTCATCGCCTCCGTTGAGCAAAAACGCCGTTCTTGCCCTGCATGTCTGTATCCAGGGATTACGCGGCAGCGCGCGCAGACAGAATTTCACATTTCATACAATTCAAGCAATTCTCCAACTTGATTCTAAATGTGGATACCGCTTCGTACAAATGTAGAGGCTACAGATTGGAGCGAGTATTTCGTCATGTATTTCCTTGTTGAAATGACAAATCGCGTGTCGGTGGTGGAAAAAGCACCATAAACATATCAAATTCGCATGTTAACTGTTTTTGCTGGTTGTCATATTTCTCTGCCCCCAGGTCTTTGAATGCCGTGCCGGCGGCATTTCGTGTATTTCATGTACTTCATGGCAAACGATGTTTTGTGTACGGGAGCGTTGGAGAAAATTCGACGAGTCAGGAGGCGAGGGTCGCCGCCTGGCCCCGGGCTTGGCATCCCCACCGGCAGCAACTTTTTGGTTCTGAAACTCGAATGAACCAGATGGGGCATTGGGGGGGAGAGAGTCCGATGGGTGGGACAGCGCCCGATCGCCAATAAGTGGCCGGTTTGGTCCCTATCTGCGTGGCCACCTCTATCAACGTGATTTGAGCACGTGCTGGCTGGCATTGGACCAGCGCTCTGGATGAGAATGGAATAACGGTGGTACCTGTGAGGCGCGAGGAACGAGGCTCACGTGGGCTCGAGCCCCAATGTGCCAACCCTGCCGCGGTAGGCCGGATGACATCGCCATTTATTTATCCATAGCTATCCATCCATATTTGGAGTGTGGGGATACCTGTCGGGTCAGCATGGTAAAAACTGTGCCAGTGCGGGGGAGGCGGTGTCTTGTGGGGCGGTGGCAGCGACTCCCCGGTTTGAGATGTGTGCAAAGGCGATTTCAGGAACTGTACGTTAACCCCATGCCAGATTCGGTGGAGGACGGGAAGGGGTGTGGACGACTTGGGTATGCTGTGTTGGACCGTTGCTGTTGCATTGTAAGATGGAAGCTGTATCCCTTGTCATGCGTCCCGAAACTTCAAATTGTCGGCGGTGTGCGCAAAGGCCACGTCGCGTGGCGCATCCACCCTTACAATGCAATTACATGCGCACTGTTGCAGCGCACTATGTCGAACATACACAGTATGGTGTGGCAATGATGCGATGTGTGACGCTGTGCCTCATCCTGTTGAATAGTAATGCGGAGGGCGCAGGGTTCCCACGACAATGCCAACTGAAGACAGAGGGAGAGCAGGATGCTTTGGTCGCCCTACCCTGCTTCAACAGTCCATCTCCAACTACTTGGCAAACGCGATACCGTAACTGCATGTTAATTTGAATGGCAGCGCAGTCAAGTAGAGGAGAGAGTGAGTCCGGCGTGGGAACAACACCTCAGCAAGAAGCCAGAACATCCTTGGCCTGGGTTCGTGGATGCTCGCATGACAGTGCCTTCATCTCAGCCGACAATGTGCTACCCTGCGTTGCTCCACCCTGTCGGCCCACGGGGACGCTGCCAACGCTCGTAGTCCCTTGCTGAACACCGTCGACACTTTGGCGCTGGTGAGGTGGGTGAAGTCAAAGGCATAGGACAGAGACTTCTATTTTCGCCAAGCAGTCGCACGCATGAAACGGATGCCAACCCCTCAGCAAGTTTAGCCCGCTTACCGCCCACTTACTGCTGGGCCACGTCTCAGTGACCAGCAAGCATCTACATCTGTATAAAGATATCTAAATCTGCCCCAAATTGATTGCATTCTACATACACCCTGCATCGCCCTTGCACTCACAATGGCAACCCAAACGGAACTTGTTCAGACCAGGAAGAATGGCTAAGACCGCCCTGCACTCTTCGCTGGCACCGTTATGCACTGTGCCATTCTGCCACTACCTGTTCCGTGGACACCATGGGCACTGTTAACGGGGACAGTGGCTTCCGCGCTCACCAATTGGATCCGGGTTCCCTACCCCACTGCTGCCTCCAGTTCCATTGCCCACCCCGCCACACTCTTCCATCGGCTTCCCACACTCGGACACTGCCTGGCTGTAGCCATCCCCGCCGTCCATCCCCAGTTTCAGCCCCCGCTTGTTTTCTTGGATGACGCGTGCCAGGACGAGCATCGACATGAATGCGTTGTGGCCACCGTCCAGGTTCTTAAATTTGGCGAAGGGCGTGAAGTCCAGGCGGTTGAGGACCAGAACGGTGGTCAGCAAGAGGAAAACCAGCCTGACGACAGCATGGAGGACCCCCAGCACCAGGTGCACCATGGAGAAGACGAACATGTATAGGAAGAAGAGCTGCGGGTAGTGGACTCTGAGGCCGTCAGAAAACAGCCAGTTGCCAAGGAGGACAACAATGAGCCTGTTGATGACCAGGACCCCGAGGAGGGCCAGCAACCAAAAGCCAGCGACGTCCAAGAACAAGTCGAAGTTGCTCAAATTGGAGAGGATGGCCAGCAGCAGCGAGATCAGCAAGCCGAAGATTTCCATTTGGATGACTGCAGTGCTGGTGAGCACTCCAAAGAAAAAGATCGCACCCCCGATGGGGTACTTCTTTTCGATTCCCACCCAGGTCTCGTTTGCTGTGGGCCCCCCATTGCCAGCTGCCTCCCGCTGCAGCTCCACCTCCCTTGCAAGATACAAAAACATTCTCTTGTACTGGGCGAGGACCACATGCACAGACCGAAATCCAATGAGGAGGGCAAAAGGGTACCCTATAAAGATGGTCGCCTGCCACTTGGGAAGGAGGGTGGAGATATATTTGACGGCATCCGCCACGAAGCCTCCGGAGAACAAAAAGACTGTCTCACCAATCGACACTGCTTCCAGACCCAGGGCAGGCAAAACAGCCTGGTCCACTCTTGCCACTGTGCCATTCGCACTGTCGTTCAGTCCTTCAGCGAGCCCCTCACTTTCTGCACCTCCCCTGCCACCTACCCCACTAATCGCCGCGGCTCTCTGATTAACTACCTGGGATAGTTTTGTCACAGTCTCTGAAACATTGTCTAGTGCGGACGTCACACTGAATTCGAATGTCTTCCAATCATTGACAGCCTCGTACCAGAACTCCAATGTCTTGATGCAAAAGTAGACCTGCAACAGCAGGGAAGTGAGAACGGCAACTTTCATCCACACAGAATAGTGAAACTTCCCTTCTTCCTCTTTGATAACATTCCATGAATACCTGAGATTCCGTACAATGGCCTTCCGGATGAGCGTTGGGCCAGATGTGAGGCAATGCACAACGAAGGCCAGGCCAGTTCGATGCTCATCTCCCCTTCCAACTTCAGCTTTTTTCCTGCTCAGCCTGGGCGACAGCTCAGTCCTGACTTGGCCTTGCCAGCGCTCCACTAGCACACGGGTCTCCCATCGTGTCATTGCTCTGCCCCTGCCAACAGGATCTACTCCCGGGCCAACATCACCTGATGGCTGCTGCACTACCCATGCACGTGCTTTGGACTCATCTCCAGGCATTCCATCCTCATTGTCCTGGTGCTCATTGCCAGCTGCAGCCTCTGCATTGCCGCCTTGTGATGTGCTTGCCTGGCCTTCAGATCCATGAGTGTCTCTGTAGTGCATCTCATGCATACTTGGCCCCAGGCTTTCCATCCCTTCTGCTGACTCTGCCTCGTTCTGGCTTCCAGCTCTGCGGCTATCTCTGGACCTAGTTCTATCCCTGAGCACCTTAGGAACGCGATTGCCACAGCAGCACGAACAGCAGCCGCACTCAAAGCACCCAAAGAGCTTGGTATGGTAAAAGTCAACAACGAGGATCATGGCAGCAGCGGCCACAACCAATAGAAGATGGGCTGAATCAGAACTCCAGGACCTTTCATGATGCCTTTCAAACATGACATCCACTGATTCAAGCAACTGAAAAAAAACCGAAAAGTTCAGCATGCACAGGCCTATGGATGAAACCAAGGCTCTCCATTTCCAATTGTTTGATCCAGGTGGCATGAAATTCATGTTCAGCGCTGCGGCTGTGATTACTGCAGTCACAAGGCCTTGTGCTATAATTTCTCCAAGCTTGTACACCCGCCGTCTCCAACCATCCACGTCCTCAAGTTTCGGAATCAGTGCCCATGTGTCAGCGCCATCAAACTGAAGGACGGTCAGCTGCAAAAGTGAACAGGGTATCTTACTATTGCAAACAAAAGAGCAAAGAGGACCTAGCAGATGTAACCAAATGCTAAACAAGTGCTAGTGAGATTCCATGGTGCGGACCCGCGATGAAGATGTGTTGCACGAGTCGGCGGCGTGAGCTCAACGAAAGCCAGCAACAAGACACACGCAAACAGCTGGGCCAGACTGGCCTCGATTGGGGCCGAACAGAGACGCTCATTACAGGACGTCCCAGTTGCGGCCGTTCCCAGCCCGACCCTAATCCTGGGCTCCACAGCCTCCGTCCCATCAACCCCATGTGTATGCCAACCCCTTTCATACATTGCTTGTGCTGCAAGCATCAAGCTGCCGAGAAAAACAGCGCGGAAGACGCAAAAACAACGCCGCTCCACGCCTCCTCACCATCAGAGCATTCACCACCACCGCGCCGGCCGTCATCTGCCAGTTCTTCCCTTCAAGCCGCGTCAGCAACGGCACGCTCCGCTTCCCGTCGCCATCCCGATCCATTGCGCCCCGGTTTTGTCCCCCTTTCCCTCACCCACCGCCCACAGCAAATTAGGCTTCAGTTACCTCACCCACCGCCAACAGCAAATCAGACGTCAGGTTCAGAAATCCTGTATCAGCCGACTCGAGCCGTGGTCAGATTCTGACGACTGGCGACGGGTTAGTCCAGCGCTGGCCAGGCACGGACACCAGGGCGATGGGATCCCGACGGCCCCCGGCGCGGGCGACTGGCGCTGTTCGCTGGGAAAGGAGGAGGCCCGCGTGCTCGCGGCCCGGAAGGTGCGGGGGTCGTGCGTGAGCTGATGCCTGTGTTGACCGCTGCTAGGAAACACGTTGGGATGGCCATTGCACTCTGATGGATGGATGCCACCTGTCAGGTTCTGGCACCCGTCGACCTGTCCTGTCGACGGGTGGGTGAGACGTGCCGGGTGTTACGCCGCTGATTGGGGCTTGTTTGGAGTCGCGACACGCATGGCAAGTCCGTCACAAACACCGCCGAGCAACACGCCGGAGGGCAAACCGTTCACACGACCAGCCGTTAAAATACAAGATCCGTTTGCCTTTCCATCCGTCCTCAAGATCTGCGGATGACAAACATGAAAGGGCAAGCTTGTAACCAGGCGACAGCTCCTGTTCCGCGCACCAAACGAATCAAATTCCACGACATTGGCCGGGGCAGACCGAGACGAAAATAGTGCCTCGGCTGCTCTAAAGTAAACGTACAGCCAACAGTGGGAAAGCCCTATGCTTGCTGGCGGCTGGCTGACTTCCATGGCGCCAGGGGATCCCGTTGGACGCGGCCTGCTTCGTGGCATTCATTACTGTCTCTATTCACTTCTGGGCATTTACTACTTTTCTATTCTCTTGCGTTTATTGCGAAGGCAACGTTAAGGCGATTGCGGGTAGGAACCCGAGGTGAGAATGCGCTGTGCTTTAGTTCTGATTAGCAGTCGGAAACTCATCAGAACGAATAAAAGTCATTACTAATCTCAACAAAACAGAAACTCCATAATCATTGATTAGGAACATGTGGGTGGGCTGCGCCAGGCACTCCGGGAAGCACCAGCAGAGGGGGGTTCTGATTCTGGCAGCCGCTCTACTGCGCAATATGGACCCGCTGGCCTGCGGGCCCAGGGCCTTGGGATCTTGGCAAGTACTTCAAAGCGAGCCAAGGCTTCCGTTCTGATGGAGAGCCTTGGTGGGCTTTTCTCGATCGGCCCGCAACCGCCCTGCTGAAGGTGCCCAAAGGCTGTCAACTGTCTTGTTTTGCTCACATCCGCTACTCCCTTGGGGATTGACTTCCCCCTTGAGGCTAAGCTTTGAGGATAAGTGCAAAGTACTAAGGTTCAGTCCTTTGGTTCAAGTCGCGAGGCTGAGGACACCCCGAGATTGACGGTCTTGGCCATCATATGGACGGGAAATTGATGGGTATGCACTTCAACACACTCGACCAGCATGCGCCTCGGGCGGGGAGAGGATCCCGTCCAGCGGAAATGCCCAATCAAGCGGGAGTGGCTGTCACTTCGACACCACAATGCCCAAACCAGCAAAGAAAAGCCCAACACCGCAAACCAGCTCACACACACAGACGGCGGGATGGAGGCGGCGATGGGAGGCGGTGACGTACGCGGTTTAGGATTGGGCGGTTGACCGCTAGCTTTGGGCATTAGGGCAACAAGGTTTTGGGGTGGGAGACGTCACCGTCTCTGTATGCATGGTCTGCATGCAGGAAACGCCTGGACCAGCTGCGCGCCCCTGCGCCGAGCCCACAAGCGCCCAGGGTCTGAACCTGGGCTCACATGGGCCCCGCCGTGGCTCAGTTTTGGGTTCATTAATAAAAGTTGAATAGGAAGAACGATGACCAAAAATGCGGTGAAAGGCGAGCACACTGTACAACGGCATCGCTAAAGTGCTGGCAGGTCCAGCCCGCCGGAATCCGATCGCTAAAGTACTGGCGGGTTGCAAGAATCTGTCATTGGCGCCAAAATAGCGAGCGGGCCCCGGCCCCATCCGGGCACACCCCTTCGAGAGGCCTTTTCAAGGCCGCCTCCCGTCGAAACCCCAATACCCTCCCGGCTCAAGCGAGGCCCCCATTCCCTAGCGCTGGGCATGTATCCTCCCGAGGCCCCGCGGTCCCAGACCGGTGCATTCGGCCCGGGGGACGACGACAGATCAAGTGTGGACGGCGGAAGCCGGGTCGAAAAGTGCGTTCCCGTGAGCTATTTGTCCGAAAAAGCGGTGCAATGCGGTTCGACAAGACAAGATGCCTGCGTCTGGGGAGGCGTTCGAGCGACGATCGATCTATGAAAAGGACAAGCCATGCTTCCGAAATCGTGAGGGAATGATCCCGCAGTATTGTCGATGGGGCTCTGGTCTGGTGTACTTTGAAAAAGAAAGGTTGTCGGTGGAGGCTCTGGGAATCTCGGAAGCACTGGCGTGACAGGCGTCCGCGATGAGGCTGCCATTGCGCTTTTCCACCCGTAGAGGGCCGACAGTCGGGAACCCTGAGACAGGGTTGGGTTGCTTTATGAGGTGGTGTACTCTTGGGAAAGATTGGAGCGAGGTTCATCCTCGCTGAGGAAGTGTGGACGCGTGTGTGAGAGGGTGTGCTGAGTGCCTGACGGATTTGCGGGGTTGTCCACGGCAGTTGGAGGTCGCAAAAGGCATGCCTGTTACGCTTGGGTTGCTCTGGACGGATTTTGCACCTTGAAATATGCCCGAAGTATGGGTTGGTGTGCGAGGTTGGGCCAAAGTGTGTGGCATGGAAGAGCATTGTTTCAGAATAGCGGGACCAATGCCTTGCACTTCTGCCCATGGGCGATTGAGCAAGGAACCCCAACGCTGAGAAGTAGGTTTACTGGCTAGGCGTTGGGATGAAAGAAATTGTTCATGCCTACTTTGCAGTAAAGCCTGATCATGACAAACAGGCACTCCATTGACTTGCAGACACTTTCACTGGGTGGCCACCCAAGTGGAACAAATGTTTGTAATGGCTGCAACGAATTTCAGGCCTTGTAATCTCATCAGCAGGGACAAATGGACGGTCGTCTGAAGGTGTGCGTTTGGGATTGGGAAGATGGGCTGATTGTGGTGTCTGTATTGCAGTGACAATGTTAACGACAGGCCGATGGAACAAGTGAAGAAGCCAAAGCGCGTGATCGTTAACCGTCGTCCTCGGGCGAAGCTGACAAAGGAACACCTTCTGGTGAGTGCCAAATTCTTGAGAGCGGGTTTGTTGAAACAGAGACAACCCATTGTCCCTGTCTGCGCAATGCGATGATGGTATGGTGTCACATGTATCTGGTTGGCTTGGGTGAGCAAGTTAACACAGATTAGAGAGTGGCATGGAGAGCAACCTCACTTATCAACGATCATTCATCATAGAATTCTGGATAAAACATCCACATTTTGCCTTATCCAGGCAATGAGAGTATGAATGCACATTTAGCTTCATAGCTTCCTTCCAGATATGGCAGCATCTGCACTTACAGTAGATACGTGATAGCAGCTTCTTTTAACTCATTCCAATTGTTGCCTGTGATGTCCCATGATGAAAAATTGGGAAAATGATAGCAGCTGTACCTTAGCCTGCACTTGCCACTGCCCACAATTCACAGCATGCAGCCTTAATGGCCTGAGGCTGAAACATGTGCAGGCTGCATGTCATCACAGTTCCGTTTCTCACCTGCAAGCTAAGTTCTTGCCTTATTTTAAAATTCTCTTTGTGGTTGTTGCCAATTACTGCAATTCAACTTACTATCTTTGGCACTGTTTGCACATATGAAGACAAGCGGTATGCAAATAGACGATTGGGGGGTTTAATGAGCACTTATCAAATGCCGCATCAGCTGTCATCGCCTCTTGAGCTGAAAGGAATCTGATTTGTGCTGGCATATTGACAATCTATGTTAAAAAGAGCTGCCAGTTCTACCCCAGATTCCCTCAGCCTTAACCCAGTTCTGAGGATTCATCTAGAGGGCTTAGGCTCAGGCATACCCAGTTTCCTATCATGGAAATGGACTGTTAGTAGTTTCCTTCTTTTGTTTTTCCATCACTTACAATGCATGAAATCAGTACAGTGAAGAACAGATGAACAAATTGGCTTTGCGTATGCTCTTCATCATCTACAAGGTGCAAGGCCTGCATGCTATCTTGTGAAGACAGTTCATTTATTTATGTCTTGTTCAATTCATTTATTGTGCAAATTTTTATGTTGAGAACTTCTGTGAGTGCGGCGGCAACAAAGGAAATGACTGCAGAAGCCACTGCTGCAGTGGCAGCATCAATCCCATTGTCGAGAACTCCACCATTCCTCTGCTTTTGTATGTCTGCACTTGCTGTTCAATGCTCGATTATTAGAAAGATACAAACAAATAGATGGTACACAATGAATACATACATAGAACACGGACATGAGCAAGTGGGATGTTGATATATGACCCAGCAGGAAGATGTTGGCCCAGCATTGTCCCTGTTGCCAGGCAGTCTTAACGTGTCCAGGCTTTCTCAAGGATCACATTGTCCCACACCTCCGGCATGCAGTACAGCATTTGACAAAGCAGTTGTAGCGGAGATGTGGTGCAGTTTGCGGTGCAAACGTGCCGTTGTATATTCAACCCTTCTGCATTTTGTAATTTGAGCGTTACTATTTTTGGTCCCCATTTTTTGACAGGCTGTTATCTTGGGGTCTCCGCATCATGGTCACAGCCAGGATAGCGACTCTGATGAGTTCGCATGGCCTCAAAAGCCAGTTTTTCCACCACCACGACTCAAGCATCTGGGGATGCTGGATGCCACGAGCAGTCCAGAGACCCTCATGTCAGAGCTGGCGCCGCCCCAAAATTGCTGGTCGCTGTTACATTTTAATTATTGCTCTGCACAGAAAGGCCAACGTTACGTTACTATGCAGAAAGGTACAATATACTGCGATAGTCAGGATTGGGGTAGAACACTCCATGGCTGCTGCTGCTCCAAAGTAAGGACAAATGAAGGCTGTCTTCTGAAAGACGCCTGTTTCCTTTCCTGCCTGTCCCCAGGCTCCAGAGGGCCTCCCAGAGGTGTACCACACCTTTCCAGAAGTCTTTCGATCTGGCTTCAAGGGCAGGGGCCATGAGGCGGAAGACCTTACAAGGCTGTTGGGCTTATACCAGCGCTGGCAGCGCAGGCTGTTCCCTTACTGCGACTTCAATGTTTTTGTGAAGAAATTGGAGCAACTGGGATCAACTGCAGCTGTGAAGGTCTGTGTGCTGAACTTTCCAGAAACAGTGGCTTCTCCGATTTCTGTTGTTGTGCTGTTCGACTTGTGACGTTTGCGAAGCCTTGCACAGCGGACAAAGCAAGGATACAATATCATGGCAGGTAATCCATGGATATGCAGTGATTCTGTCCACTCTGTCCACACATTCATGTCTGTATTTAACGTCCCGTTTATCAACACATTTGTACATAATATCTCGTACTGCACACAACATCTGAGCATATCATCACACTATTTTAATTCCTGGGGCGTTGCATTGCCTTGTGCTTTCTTCAAGGTGGCAGAAATCCACCATTATTAGGATTTGGTGGACGAGGTGTAGTGTACAAACGTTTCAGAACACGCACTGGGACGGGAGTATGGGTGTCACCTCCTTGCATTCGTGCATGCACAATGTTTCAAGCAACTATTGGGTGCAACTGACATCTGCATTGATGATGCAGCAGCCACCAGAAAGACCCTATCTGTACTTGCCTTTCAACGGAAACAGCAGCCTTTTCTCCTGTACATTTCCACCTGCACTGTCTCCTATACATTTCCACCATTGTTTCATTGCACTGCCTTGCTTGGTCCTGGCACACAGCCGGCTTCCAACCCTAGCTATTATGTTTTCCTTCAAAGGCCTATTGCAAGTGTAATCTCTATAAATGGCTCTGTTCGTGCTTGCCCTGAACACTGAATAAGTCAAGGAAACCCTAACCAGAATAATCAGAAAATCTTGTGCGATGCCACTGTGCACTCATTGCCTGGTCATTTCATGCAGAATCAAATGAGGGAGCTGCGTCAAAACGTGTTGAAACTTGTTGATGAAAAGGAAAATCAGCCCGAGGCTGCTGGAGCTGGAGGTAGGCGTCTGCCGAGTGCACAATTTTTGTAGATATTCATTGCATGGTTGTATTGTACGGAATTACTATTGTTGTGCAAGTTAACATTGTTTATACATTCTAGTGTATTATTGTCACTGTTATTGTGTTGTTGTTATATTGCTGTATTGACCACTTTGTGCTATTACAACCCTTGTACATGGTGGGTATGGCTCAATTCTTTCCTTCTGCACCAGAAGATTCCCAGATCATAGTTGAAGTATATATTGGAGCCTGGCAGAAAAGGGCTGCACACAGCAATGTGCAGCATTAGTTATTATAAGGCCCTTTTTGTTGGCAAACAATCAACCATGAAGGTGGAAGCAGCTACCTGGATTGGCTCATCTTTTGTTTCGCCTATTAGCTGCGCCCATATTGTTTCGCGTACTATAGCTCTGACAAGGTGCATGAAGTCATCAATTCAGGTGCATTCAAATGAACATGGCCATATCATACTTGGGATGATATTGGGCTATGCATATACTTGTACTCAGTGTGATACAAACTGTAGGAGTCAAGCAACGAGCCTGATCATTCTGCACTACTACGATTTTCGTTGCCAAGTCTGGGAAAGGCTTTCAAAGCTGACTTTAATTGCACTTTTCAACCACTGTATAGAAGAATGGTGGAAGTAAACAGATTGCTCACAAGTTTTCTTCGAAGTTTTCAGATGTTTATTGGACAGTTGTGGATGTTGCCAGATGAACCTTGTGTTGAGCGACTGGACATGGTGGATGACGATGAATTCGTAGCAATGCAGGCTGAGCAAATGGTGAGGGGCCCATTTAGAAAGCGTGTGGAAATCTGAGAGCTGTGTTCTGTGTCACAGTAATGTAAGCAAGTATAGCATTAGATGGTCATGCTCATAGCGGGCCACTGCAATGCCTCAGTCATGTCAGGTTTGTAAATTCTTATCTTGTGCTTACAACGAAGATTACCATCATTCCTTTGGCTTTCACTCATCAGACGATGTTCAGCACTGTCTACAGATGCAAATTGTGTTCTCAACGAATCTGGTTATTGCTGTGTAGTCGATGAGCCAATTTGCGATGCGTGGCTTGAGTTTAAGTTGCTGTACACAGAATGTAAGGATTGTCAAACCACTCCTATTCAATTCATAAACTGGGAATAAGTGTGGATTGGTTTGCATCGCCACAGGAGGAGGATGCTCCTGATGACTTCTTCGAACAGCCCTCCATGGCCCCTACAAGCGGCCAGGCAGTTGTGGATCAAAACATTTCCCAACCTCCCAGATCCCCTGCAAATGTGGTCCAGAGGGCTTTGCCCAACGATGATGAGCTCATGCAACTGCTGGATGAGCAGACAGAAGTTCTACCACGTGCAAATGCCGCAGCTTTGCAGAGCGAAACGATTCCGTTGGATGAGGATGAGTTGCTGGACTTGTTGGAGGCACCCACTGTCACAACAACTGCAGTTGCTGCTCACTGGCCTGAGGACCGTGGTGAGGAGACTGCCCACCCAAACGACGATGAGCTCATGGGACTGCTCGAGACTGAGGTGCAAGAAACAGCCATTCAGGGGCATGAGGTCAGTTAATTTAGTCGAAAGACTGTGTCTTGCGATGCGTCTGAATGAATGTGCAGGGTGTTGTGGGGTCATAAACTGCAAGATTGGCGTCTTATCAAGCCAATGACTGCATTTCCAAGAGCTTGTGAACCTGGCACTGCTCATGACAATGCAAATAAAAATTGTGACATGCAAAAGGGCTCACCAACTGAAAGCAAGACAATGCCAACAATGCCAAGCAAAACCCCTCTTAAGAAGTGAACCCAAAGGACAAAGGCCAAAACGTGCTGAAGTATTCAAATTCGCCTGACAAATCCAACAACAAACCTGCCTTGCAGTTCATGCCTTGTGTTTTCCTTCCATTTGGACTTTTAAATACATGAACAAATTTTGTAGACACTGGGTCAAGTGTCCCTGGCAAGTCCCTTCCTGCAGGGATGCAAGAATTAAGTATCCTTTTTCTTCATAAATCAGTTGCGAATTCAACCATTTACTTCTTTAATTGTTCAAGGAATGGAAGACGATATCTAGGGCCTAGCAGGTGCTAGGCCAGGCACTCTGGCTCAAGACGTCTTGTCAACTGTGCATCTGGTGGACAGAAGGCCACCTTCAGAGCCAGATTCCCACAGGGCTGAGAGACAATGGTCAAATGTTGCAATGCCTCATAAACGCCTCACCCTATGAAATGGAGCTCGCCTGAAAAAGTGTTGGTGGCTTTGGTTGTCCCTTATGCAACACTCTACGTACAATCGCAGCAGCCTACATATTATTCAGGGTAACATGAAATGCGCAAGCTTTTTTAGACAAGCGTCATCAGTAGATTGTACATTGTCATTGCAGCACTTGACATTTGCACAGCACCTTATCGACCGCAAGTCTTGGCAATCCAAGCGTGCCCAGGCGCCCAGGCTTGTTGTCTAGAAGAACTCTTGAAAATCGACTGGGCTCACTGCTCAAGAAGGGCTTCAAGTGCGCTGGATTTCATGGCCTGACATCTCAACTCCCTTTCTCCAGGCAAGTGCCGATGAGTCCATTGAGCAGCCTGGGACGTCGCCGATCTGTGCCAATGGGGCCGCGGGGCACCCTCCATGCCCCCAGGCCGAGCGACTCTCTCCTTGTGCCCTCCCCAACGACGAGGAGCTCATGGATCTGGTGGAGGCCGCTCCTGCGCCTGGCGGCATTGTACACACGGCCCCTCCTGACGACAGCGAGCTGCTGGACCTTGTCGATGCCCCAACCACCGCTGACGAGACCTTAAGGCCTGGCCATGTTGAGTCACCAGGGGCCGGTCCCGATGACTCGTCGAGGCCTGGACCCAGCGGGTGTGTGCCCTCAACGCAGCTGCCGAACGATGAGGAGCTTCTGGGCCTGCTTGGGGAGCAGGCTGAGGCGGGCAACGAGCTGGAAGGGATTGATGCCGGGACCAGAGCGCCTTCGACACAGCTTCCGAATGACGATGAGCTCATGGAGCTGCTTGCTGAGCCCGGGTCGGATGTGGAAACGGGCAGGAAAGCACCGTAGAATTAACAATTTTGTTGTCTTCACATGATATGTGGAGATTTAACGTTGTGTGCTATGGTCAGGCCTGCCCTAGTGGCCTGATTGCCTGGCAGTTGCCGATGAATTCCATGGCCAATGTCTGCTGGAGAGCGGCTAACGGCCAAAGACATGACCGTGGCAAAGGCATGGCTATATTGAATTCCTTGAATCGCACTTTCCGAGACGACAGAACACAGCCCTTGCAACTTGGTCGCGGTGGCAGGCACAGCAGCGCGTGACGGGCATTTGTTAGTTGCTGCTGCGAAAATCTGATGAGTGGTGTGGGGGTGGCCTCAACACTTTTGCTCTGTGATCAATTGTAAAACTTGACATGCATTGACAATGGACTTTCAACACCGCGATGGACATGGTGGCTTCCTTGTGGTCGTTTTCAGATTAGCTTTGTACATGTATCTTCAGAAGCTCAAGAAGACACCCCGGAAAGATAACAAGCAGAGCCAGTCATGCCATTGCGCCTCACTGCTGGGTTCTTGTAAAGCTGGCAGATGGGCCACTGTCCAACAAGGGCAAACATGGGAGTAGTTGAACGGCCATGATGCACACGACTACTATCCAATTGCACAGTGGACAATATAGATGCGGTGGATGGCCATATAAAGGCCACCGTTTCTGAGGTTCCCCTATTTTTCTGTTCCTTGGAAAAGCCACTTTAGGAATGTGGCTCCAATGATCAGCTACACCATGTGTCATATGATGTCACTCACACTTTTAGCACTCCTTGAGTGCCACAGGTGCACAACAGATATGGAGCCGCCTCATGAGGCCACCAAACACTTTAGGGGATCCAAGACGGCTTTCCCGAATGACTGTTACAAACGGTTGAGGCCACAATTTGGAAAATTGCGCCTGATAATAAGGAGATATTAGAGGCTCCGTGGTGCAAGGCGACAGCTAGGTTTCCTTACGTGCAATCGAATAGTTGGAAATTGGGGAGACTGTGGAAATTCGCTCACACGTTCGCACTGCTCCATTTTATGACCAGTAGTCAAAATGGTGCTGTGATGACAGAAATGAATGCGACACCGCGTGGTGTACTTGATTCTTGATTTGCTAGGGCCCCACCAGAGGGACGAACTTCTCTTTAAAAGAGACATGCACAGGCATGTATATAATGAAGACATGCATAGGCATGTATATAGTGAGGCAATGCAGAAACGTTGGATGGGCAGCAAATGTTGGATGAGCAAATGTGATTGCGTATTTGCAAAAATGTTCATTTGAATCCGAATGATTCAATTATCAGTGATGCCGGCCAAATTCGAAACTACAGATATTTCCTTTTGTTCTCTTATCAGAAAACAAATATAGGAACACGCACACAAAAAAGCATTCTTTGTAATAATCTCCTATTAATGTGAAATGTCGTCAATAAATGTATAAATTTCTCCTCATATGATGATTCGGCAATTCGACGCTCAACTACAGTAAGGACTCCTTAAAAAACAGCAGATAGAATAACTTGTAAACATTCCAATCTACCTCACCTTGCCAGGCACCCCGCCTCCGTGCCTGACCCCTCCCCCTAATGGGGAGGGCCCGGCACCACCAAAGTTACCTAGCCCTTGGTGGCGCCACCGCAAGTCGGGCTCCCTATCAGGGCGCCTAAGCGCCCTGCCACCCTCCACATCTGCCCGTCAGTGTCGCGGCGCCGGCCTCGGCCAGGACGCCCTCTAGCGGGCGTCCCGTGTTGCCTCATTGGCGGGCGCCGTTGCTCCACCTCCCATGCCGCTGCCTCGCACCCTTCCTGCCAACTTCACACCAGCTCAACTGCTGCACAATGCATTGAAAATATCGATCGAGTTTCTCACGGCAAGAAGTTTTTGAACAGAGATATGCAAAGAAGGATTTATGCTTGTGTACACAAAGTCTGACTAATGTTCAACGCGTTCAATATTCCTTTTGTTAATTTATGTACATATTGAATATTGGGCACACTGTGACTTTCATGCTTTTCCGCATGGGATTCCGCCGTCGCCTATCCCGCCCTCACTTCAAGTGTTCTCGGAAGATCAAAAAGCCATGTGGCCACCGAACTGAATCAAATGACGAACGCGATTATGCAGGTCCAACAGTGTTAGTTCAAACAGTACTTATGCTTTTAGATAATATCTATCATGGCAGTCCAATGCGCCAAACCTTAGCACTCGGCCACTGATCAAGCGTGGTCCGCCACAAGATCTTGCACTCCGCGACCTTCATCTCTGCTTGGCAGACAAAGAGGCGCTGACAAACGGAAGAGGAGACCACGGACGAAGGGAAGGATTGGCGCAATCGGCCAGAACATATTGGCCGTGGTGCAGTGAGCACATTTTCTTAATGCACAGACCACATATACAATTGCAACACGACCATCACCACCAAAATGTTACTTATTAATGGTAAAAATTCAATATTTCAACACTTCAATACTCTTCATATGCAATGAACGATGACTGCATTTCTTAAATGCACAGCAAGCGTTCAGCGGCTAATCCTACCCGTCACCAGGACTGCGGCGAATTGCGACGAAAAATTTACGGGGCGAGTTTTCGCATCGAGGGGTGGGACGGGGGGTGCTAAACGAGGCGCCGCGCTTGGGAACGAATGTCCGAACATCGGCCGCACCTTGACCGTCAATGCGCCGCCTGCCGGTCTTCCGCCTCCTCTACTGGCGTGCCCTTTCCTCAAGGCTCCTGAAAGGACCCTGTGAATGCGCTCCACAAAAACAGCCGCTTAAAGTGTGTTCTGGACGAGGCAGAGGCCAGTGAACAAGCAGTTCCGTAACGGCAGCTCGAAGGGCCGCGCTCTGACCTTTGGCCACTGGCCGTCGTGCAACGCTGAAGCTTGCACTCCGGGGCCCTGGCATCTGGACTGCGCAGACATAGAAGCTTTGAGCAAACGCAAGGGGAAGGGAGAGGGCGGCAGACAACGGCGACTGGCGTGGTAGGTCAGAATTTATGGGCTTGTGGCGCTTCCAGCGTGTTTTTTTTGGACGTCCGGGTCGGAGAATGATAGTAACGTCACCACGACTGTGGAAAAGTCGCCTTGCAATAGCGAGCACATTCGCTCAGCCTGTGTTCGTTGAGTATGAATCCTGGGGCTGATAATGGCCCGTTGCAGCCAGTGGGATCGGGGCGCGCTGCGCTACCTCAATGGCTACATCACAGCTTTGTTGCATTGGTTGGACTGGTTGACTTCGTGCATGAGCAACTAATTGACGTTTGGGGGACACGCCATGGCGATGTTGGTATGCTTAGCGCCAACTCAGCGCTAAACGTACCAAAGTCTATATAGCGTGTTCCCCAACAGGGACACGATTGATTATTGTGGATGGCAATCGATGACAACCACATTTAGGAACTATCCCAGGCGTATACAAGCCGCGGCAAGGCTGCAAGCAAAGATCACTGCGCGTTTTTCATCTGTCCGCGGCCTCCTTGTGCCGCCTACACGGTTTTTTGTAAAACCGGCGATCACGTAATCCCTGCCGACGACTCCAATCCCATTGCAGCTCCGTCACCCGTCCTCCATTTCTCAACTCAGAATGACGTTTGCCAAATCGGGCGCTGAGACAGACTGACGCATGTCGAATGCGCAGTGCGGTACAGTGCGCGGCGAGTTGCTCCTGTGCAGCGAGCGACAGCCGCCGCGCTCGCGTACGGGCTCTGTTGCGAGCGACGAACTGCACCCGCCCGCCCACCCTAGACCACCGGTCTTGCGACCCTCAGTCTTGTGGTGTCCGGGCCTGAGCCCCCTCCTCCTACCTCTCGGGGTGTGTCAGAGTTGAGTAATCTCCTCGGCGCCCTGATGGCCGGAGGGGAGTCCGCCCCAACGTCATTCACGACTTGCTCCAACAGAAGCAACGTACGTATTCATGAATACTCCATTTCTTCTCTGACAATTTGCCGTTCACGCAGCACTGTACGTAACGAAGACCGCCCCACTGGTTCGCCGGGGCAGCGCATTATCCCTGTGTGCTCTGTTTCGCTTGTTCGCTCATGCGCAGCGCACAGCCCAAAGCACGACGCCTGAGTTGTTTTTTCGCCGCTTCGTGAGCGGCGCGAAGAGCGTTAGCAACCCTCTTCTGGGAAAGCAACAGCAGACTCAAGTGCTTTACAGTACTTGCTGGTACCACTGCTCGTTGAAGGGTGTTTGGCTCGGTTGGATTCAGCACGATCGCAACCCGCGGCGTGTCCACTATTGGTGCCCAAAGTCATTCATCGGGAAACATGAACCTCATAATTTAAAAATCAGAACACGTTGACGGCTACAAACCCCAGAGCGCTAATGGGCACACCAGCCCGCCCCAAGGCCACCAGCGAGGGAAAGAAAACAGAACAAGGGCAGGAAACTTCACAGGCCGGCGTCCTTGGCGCCCATTCCTGCCATCAATTGCATCCAAACCGGCGTTGCACCACGTTGGAAAAGGAGGAGTGCAGCCAAAAATTCCATGCCGACTCGCGTGCATCGCACCGCAGCAAATCGTACTGCGTATCGTACGACTGCACTTATCGTAGCCCATATAGTACGATTACACTAACTCTATTGTACATCGCACGGTTGCACTAGTCGTATTGCTGCCTGAGCGCCATTTCTGCCTCCGACTTCCACGTGCTGACGCCGCTCTGCCCCTTGGCGCGCTTCTGCTTCTCCCTCTCGCGGCGGTCGTTGTTCTTTCGCGGAAGCAGCGCGCTGCCGCCCTTGTGCAGGAATTCGGACACCTCCATGGGGCCGCTGGGCGGTCGCTGTGCTACCTTTTCGTCCCCAATTTCACCCCCCATGAGCGCGACCTGCAGATGCACAAGTGGCGTTCATGCCCCCGACTTTGGGGAATGAGCGGCAAAGCCTCGTTTTGGTTCATTGGATCCAATAGACGAACCGTCTCTCTATTTGTTAAAACCGTCTCTTTATCTGCTGTTTAACTCTTTGTTCAAAGTAAACCGACTTTGAATTTCGATTCACTTTGGTTGCTGATCTGCCACGGCTCACCCGGGAGTTTTGAACTTCTCTTTTGTGGGACGGAGCATTGAGTGCATAGATTTTCTATGGATTTAAACATCTTTGGGGCTTTGCATTGCCGTGCACTCCCTTGCCGGGTGGTGCAAGGCCTGCATATCTTGTGATAGGACGGGGTAGGCACCTGGACAATGAAATGCGAGGCAACATTTTGGAACAAGAAAAGAACGCCAACGCCAAGCACAGCCCCATTGTATTGGTCCATTAAGGCGTCGGGCTTCAGAATTGCGTCGATTTATTACATGATATTAGTACCTTATTTGCTATCATTTTCTGCATTTGTTTCATTGCGAACAATGGCATTCGTATTTGAAGATTCACCGACTCCACACATCGATAAGGGGCCAATCCGATTTGATGAACTTGAAGAAAATATGATTAGTCGCAGTCCTTTGACCACGAGCAGGTGGGTTGATACATGTGCCCTACGCCAATGGAACGAACGCCGTCCAACTGAAGTTGGCACCGCTAGACCACCCAATGGAGAATTCATCTGCTGCGTAATGCGGACAGGTTTCTCCACTGTATCTTCTTGGCTAATGCCGATATGTTATCAATTCAGGTGTAATCCATTCCGAAGAACATGGCACATTCTTCTTGGCTAACGCAGATATGCTGTCAATTTAGGTGCACTCTCTTTCAATCCAATTTCCGAACAAATGAACACAAACCCGGCGGTGATTTTCCACATCCTGCAAATGGAACGGCGTACTTGGCGGACACGTGTCAAATCCCCAGAAACGGGATTGTGTCCAATTCAGCCCTCTATTCGTGCCCAAGAACAGCACGCGGAAGGACACGCACAGCCAACAATGGAATCTAGCAAGAGAAGAATGGAAACGAAAGGCGGCGCACCTGAACGGCAGTGTACTGCGGCGCTTCCTCAGCATCGGGCTTGTATTTCTTCGCCTTCGCTTCGATGACGGCGCCCTCAGGAAGGCCCCTCTTTGCCGACTCGCTGCGTGGCAGGCCAACGACCCACATTGAATTTTCTAAGCCTCGTGTCCATGCATTGTACATAAACATCGTACCAGAATGTACCAAACCACATCGTACCTGGCAGTATGTCTGCCTATTGCACCCCGCGCTTAATGGGAGACCTCATCGTGCGACACCTCATCTTTGTGTCCTGCGCGGGGTCACGTTTGCCAGTTGGTACGAGCGTGTTGATTGTTGCAAGAACACAACAATAATAATTCTGAAGTGAATAATACTGAAGTAAATAATAAACAAATAAATAGACAAGTAACAAATCAATGAATGAGCAAAGAAGTACAGAAACAATTGACAAGCAGAAATGCGGCGCCATTGGCCAGCTGGGGTTGGAAGTACGGCAACAAAACTCACGGCGACGAACACTTGCTTGTGTTGACACACCCCCACACCGTCTGGCAGGCCAAAGGGCCGCGATGCCAAACCCTCTGACTCACTCACCTCACCGTCCCGAGCGTGGGCGCCAGGTTCGCGACATCGAACTCCCCTTCCGGGGTCGCCTTCCTCCGCTCCTTCCTGTTCGACTTCGGCGCCTCGCCTGCGGGCGCCGCGCCCTGCGGAAAGGGCAGCGCCCCGTGCCTGGGGTTCTTCGCCAGCGGGCGAGTGGCCTCAGGGTCCAGAAAAGCCGGGGGGCCATCGACCTGAACACCACCCCAGTCGCTCGCCCCGTTTCAAATTTGACGACTGGACTTGCTGGTTCGATGGATGATCAAACGAGCAAAGTCAAACGGAAGTACATCAGCGACAATGTATGTGTAGTGCTCTTTAGCCATATTTGCTAGTGCAACTAAAAATTGTGTAAATCACTATCCCATGCACATGCTATTTGCAACCATTCCCAAGGTTCCAGTTTCAGGCTTGAAGGAAAACCTGCACACGTTCCCAGCTTTCATCCAGCCCATCACAAATCAACGCATTGCGGGCAGCGCTGCCTTCAGGCAGCGCCCATATACCAGCTGGTTGTATGGGCATATCTTTGCTTCCAGCATTCACAAGGCGCCCGAGAAATCTGGTGCCACACAATCCCAGCATGTTTCAAGGGCCAGCGCCTGGTCTGAAGCACTCTTTTGCAGGTATAGCGGAGGCCATGAAATGGGACTCGGCATATGCAATCCTGAACCTGGAGGCAGTGATGGGGTGTTGGGAGCCACCCGACAAGCAAACGACACAATAGGCCATCTGGAGGCCACGCAGCGTTTGGCAAAGGTCCACATCAGTTTCATGCAAGCCTCTGCATCTCATAACCAGCTTCCAAATAGTTTTTCAAGTTACTTGCTGACAGCTGCACTTGACCCGCTGGTCATACTGTTTCACCACCTGAATGGTTTACGGCTTTCAGTTTTCAGCAAAGTACCCACAGCGCTGCAATTGACTCTCCCCACTGTGGACACCATATGACTCCGCCCCAATGGCGAACTCCATCTGAGGCATGGGGCCTGCTTTGGCATTGGCTACATCTATCAACTGCAGTCGAAAATTACTGCCTGTGTGCAGACAGGGCGATGCCTGGCACTGTTCACATCTCCAGGGGGCTGTTCTTTGGTACCCCTCCCAGGCTGCGGGGCTTTTGGTGCTGACATAAATTTATAAACACAAAATGTTCTGTTTGACATGTTGCTTAACAAAGATGCAACGCATGACTTGATTTCCATTATTCTGCACGGAATGTCAGCAATATCGATCAATTCTCTTCCTGTGTGCATTACTCTTGCTGGAATGAGTGCTTACACTCCAGCTATCCGCACAGGGTGGTCACCTTGGAGAACAGAGCAGCTACAGAAGGCAGCAACGAAGATTTTGGTGATGGTGGCTGCCTGCTCTGGCCATAGTCCACCAGCCTCTCCTCAGCCTCCCTTGCCCTAAGGGTTGCACTGTCCACGCTGGCAGTGCCACACAACACCAGAATCGTTCACGCACATTCTGCGAACAAGCAATGCGGAAGCCAACCCGTCGTCGCCTTCTATGTGCTAGAACGGCGTTCGTCTGCAATGACATCAAGGCAGGACTCAACCTTGGTCAGCACTGGTGACAATCAGGTGAGATCAATGCCTGCAACTTTGCCATGTGCAAATTTTGCAGCATTCTGTCAAAGTTTGGTTCACGCATAAGCAACTTTCTCATCTGTTGCAGTTCTCTTGTATGTGGTAAAGTACTGCCCTTTTACCCAGGCCCTGTCGGGTTGCAGGGCAAGGGGCAGGCTTGTCGCAAGGTAGTATTTGCAGCATCACGAGCGCTACGATCATTAACGTTCAAGCATCATATAATCTTCCTGTATCCAAGCTTGTGAACATGCTCTAAGAATTAGCTCACTGTTTCAATCGCTGTTGTTGTGCCAGTGGCAATGGACAGCACGACAGATTCTCCACCACTGGGGATGGCCTGGCTGTGTGTCAGGTATGTGTGCAAAGGAGACATCATTTCTCAAGGCGATTATACCAAAAGATGGGATTCCCAAACACAAGGAAAGTTGTACAATTCCTCCACCATGCCTGCCCCAACCCCCCATTTCTGTAAGTTTGGGACTCTTCTCCATGCACTGTAGAGCATCCGAATAGAACATCAAAACAGCATAAAAATGGCAGAGGAGTCTTGGGAGATTTTGCACGGCTGTGCACTTCCATTGGATCTGGGTGCAGACTTCACTGCTGTCTGCTGTCACATTACAGAGCTCTGCAATGTCCCAAAGTTAGAGCAAATACTCTCATATGCAGAAGACGAGAGTTCTCGTTGTGTGGTCTGCCTCCCTTCTGCCTTTTCAATCGTTTGATGTGGTCGCAAGAGGAAGAATGTGCAGCAAGTGTTGGGGATCAGACAACGTTGTCTTGCAATGTGAGATTGTTGGCTGATACGAGGCATTGTGGTAGATGTTTTGTGTCGCACTCCGTTCCTGGTGCATGGTGCATTAGTTGGATTCCTTTCGTCATAATGGTCACGACAAGCTATGACATTGCACTTTGCAGCCCCTGACAGAGGCACACATTCCAGCTGCGCTGGGAGACTTGTCAATCGTTTGCCGAAGAATGGAAAGAATCGCAACACACTTCTGCACGAGGGGAACATCTGTTGCATGACATTTGTTCATTCCATCTTTTTCAAATCCCGGCCCCAAATCAAGCAACTACCAGCGCTACAGGAACCATGAACTGCGCCTCAGCTTCCAGGCACACCGCCTATTCACCAGGCTGGCTACCTCTCCTCCGTGGAGCTGTCCTCGCTGTCAGATAGAGCTGCAGCCCTCCCCGCCGTGCCTGTCCGCACACAGCGTACACTCGAAGACTGTCTCATACACAGCAAAGGAAATACATTCCCGTGCTTGGGCATCAGCTTGTCGAGAAAGCATTGTGAAGAGAAGGTCCCATCCCTGTTGCCTGCCGGCACGGGACGGAGAAGCGACGCTTGACACCGTTCAATGCATCTTGCAAGCAACAAAAACAAACAACAACGGCCACGTTCACGTACCGAAAAAATCGCAGGCATCGCCGCTTGCTCCCTCCGGGCTGGACATGATTGAATCCCTGCGGGGCTCGGGGCGCGGATTGTTTGCCCCTCCGGCAGCTGGCGCGAGAGGCTGGCCGTTGAGGGAGGATGCAGCGAAGGCGCGCCTGTCTGCTCAGGGGCCGTGGTTCAGCTTATCGGCTTTCGCCTGCACAGGAACTCACAGTTTTGCTCCTGTAGACGTCGTTCAAAACGTTGCTTATTTCGCGCAGTGGCCCTACAACATGTAGTGAATTCAATCCCTCAGATTAATTGATTGATCAATTATTCGAATTTTGAGAATAACAACTGTCGATGAGGTCTTTTTCTACAACTTCGCTACCCTGAGTTGTTGTGGTCATTTCATCCCCCACACAGGAGCGCGAGCGGCTGGTGGACATACCCTTGTTCGCTCTACCCTTCCACATCCGCTTCAGCCATCACCCCCAAGACTCTTATACTGACGCGTCAACAACAATCAACACGCCATTCGCAGTTGTGTGAAACAAAAAAACTCATGTGCAATCAGACATTGTGTGTTGCATCGGGTTGTGGGACCATGTGGCTGCTCAGGTGGCACGTGCCATGCCTAGGCGCGGCCGTGACTGCTGTTCGCATTTTCCTTTTATGTCTGCTGTCACACGTTCTGTCCACTCACGCACAAGGCAGCACATCGCAATGTCGGCATCATCATTTTCGTGTACCACACTGCAAATTTAAAACAACGCCCTGTTGTTCCAGCAGACATATCTTTTTGCGCCAATCACTCCAAAACTGTGCAAAAGTGAAACAGGAACTCCGCCATGCGCACGACTTGGTAATGGTCGCCATGCACCCGGCTTAGTGAAGGTTGGCATCATTTTGCGGCACATGTACAATTGCCGGATTAATTAGTTTCTGGCACGTGGCCCCGCCCATTCTTTTTCATCTTTTTTGGCTGCTTATTTGGAGGGCAAAATGATTACAATAATAAAATAGATAAATGTGTAAGTTTCCTATGAACCTCATTACTAATTGCTCATTGATGAGCAAATGATATTAGATGATGAGCAATTCATGTTTCGAGATCAAATGTATCTTGAGCGACAGGAGAAGACAAAATGGACGTTGGAGGCACGCTGCTTCAAATGTCGCATTGCAGTGCAGACCCACACACACGTTGCAACAAGGCAAAAATCACCACTCACACAAGGCTGGCACTAGTGTCAATGCCTGTTATTTTGGATAGGCAAGCATCTCATTAAGAGCAGATGGGCGTTGCACCAATGGCAACGCAACTACCATGTGGCATCAGCTTCTTTCCTTTTCCAGATGCGCCAGGGTCTCTCCGGTCGATCACACGGAAGACGGCTGTTCCACGGAAATTCCATCCATATTTGATGGGTAGTTTAGCTATAGGGGCAGGTGGCCACAGCTTAAAAGCGTCGAAGCGCAACGTGCTCACTTTGGAGCAACCGACGATGGCTGCACTCCTTGGGCCATGCCGACTGCCAGTGGTTCTGGCGACGCTCGTTGTTTTTGCGAGCACAGTGCATCCCACTGCGCGCAACAACCCGGGGGGCTTTCTCCGTGAATGCACCTTTACACTGGAAAATACTGCACCATTCACACATTCCTGATTGCGTTCGAATTGTATTGAAATAGGATCACATCTCGTACTGCCCGGGGGGGTGAACCGTGTTAAAGTGGACCCAACCGTGTTCCAGTCAGCGTGTTGTTGATGCCAGATTCCCCAGTGTTTGGGATGTTGAGTCCCTCTCTCCCTCACTGTAGCCACGGCTCCACAGGTTCCGCATCAGAGATCTTGGCGTTGGTTTGCGCAGAATACGCTTTTGCTCGTCACCTCTTTGGGTGAGCGTTGCTTTGTTGCTTGCTTAACCAGGCACAAATGGAGCAAGTCATCGCGCCGTTCAGCATGGTGTGGCGAAGGACTGAGTCAATCAGCGCTTTGCCGGAAAGAGCGTGGTACATTTGTCCAATGCATTGCTATAATATAGGTTTAAAGTATGCCATATTCCATTTGGGCACGCACATGCTATCTTCATACGTGCATTCGCACACCATGTCCTATTCATGCATATTTTGTCGTCGCTGATTCTTTCATTGTTCCGCGCCTCTTCCACCGTGCACTCCAAAAGTTCTATGCCCAAAATGCGCAATCCGCGAAGTGCAACTGTCATGCTTGCACTGGAGGAATTTGCTATATGTCCGACTCCACTTTTTCCTTTTCTCACGAATATTTGGCATTATTAGCCGCAAGCCATGTCAACAGTTCATGGTAGAAAATTTCACGTGCCGGCAATGTACACCCGATACCCATTGAGTTCATTTTCAAGTCTCGGTGGCAAGTTGTACTGCCAAACGGCATCCCGGACGCTGCAGTTGCTCCTGACCGCTGGCCGCCCTTCGGCTCAATGCACACCCAAACGAACGCCTCCGCAACGACCCTGCCCCACCCCGTCTCCACAACCCACACGCACGACCCCGCCCCACCAAAACCATGGCCTCTGCCAGCACAGTACCCCCCACCGTCCCTCCCGCCTTGTTCGCCAAGCCTTGCACCAAGCGATGCCATCGCGCAGCCCCTCCTATCCTCACGAGGCCTCCAGAATTTCTTCGACATCTGTTTCTTCTTTCCTTCGCCTACCCCCCAGCCACCCCATTGACTGCCAGCGAGTTCTCCTGCTCCCCAAAAACGCCGCCCCTCTCCTCCCTCCCCGCACCCCCCTTTCCCAACACCGGCCCAACTCCCTTGTTCCCTGAGGCCCCTCCCCCAGCCCCGCCGGGCCTTGGGGCCCCGCCCGCGTGCTCCCGCGTCCCCTGGCCGGCCTGGACCGGCCTGCCGGACGCCTCGCACTCCAAACACGACGCCCTCAGCCGCCGCGGTTTCCTGCGGTCCCTAGAAAAGTGCGAGGGCGACTTGAACTCGCGGCACACCACGCACTGCCGAGGGCCGTGGGTCCCCGCGCAACTGTGGCACCACCAGGAGCCCTCCAATACCTCCCCGCCAGATCTGCAAGCCCCGCACTTGGTGCACCGGCGGGCGGCCGCCGCGGGGCCGGGCCTGGACTGGCACGGGTCGATCGGCTCACAGCGGGAGCCCGAGCAGCTTGGCCGCTCCCGCTGCGCTCCTCCGGCATCCGCCTGGGTTTCATTCGTTCCCGGAGTCACCCTTCCATTCTCTCGAGCGTTCTCTTGGCCGTTCTCGCGAGCAATGGAGCCATCCCCGCCGGAGTCCAGCCTGGCCCTCTTGCCGGGGGCGGTTTCGCAGGCGTGGGGATCCGTCGCGGACCTCTTGGGGCTGCGCAGAGGCCCGCCGACTCCCTCCCCGCCTCCCTGCGCCGCGCTGCTGTCCCCATTTCCGCCCCCCTCCGCTCTGCCTGCATTCAGCACCCTGTTCACAACCTTGGGCTTCCTCTTCTGGGCGCCGGTCGCCCGCTGTGAGGGCCCGCCCGTTGGCCACATCCCGAGAGACATCCCTGCTCCCCCGCCGCCAGCGGCCACCTTGAGCCCATCGGACAAACCGCCAGAGTCTCTGCACCCGGGTGACGCTCTGCTCTCTGGGCTCCCTGCCAGACCCCTTTTCTCTCCGACATCTACCGCGCCCGGCCACCTGGACTGGCCCTCGCTCACCTCCGATTCAGGCAGCCGGCTTGGGCGGTCATTGGCAGGGGACCTGTCTGTGAAAGCGCCTCGCTGGGAAGGGGAAGGCCCGCTGTGGCCGTCGCCCCATGGCAGCTCCACGGACTGAGTCATCAACGCGGGCTCCGACGAGAAGGAGAACTCGCGGTGGTTCGCGTCGGGTCGGCTGACGATCTGGACTTGGCAGCTGGGGCCCAGCGCCTGGACGCCGATTTGGTCCCCGTGGGGCGACAGTCGCTGCCTGCCGACGCCCAGGCACTGGTGCTTACCGGAGTCCAGGGGAAGCGAGGCTGTGGCTTGTCCCACCTGCGTGCCGAAGATTTTCTTGTTTCCATGTTTTTCATGTTTTAATGTGTGGCAGCGAGGAAAACATGTTACAAAATAGACAGAAAAAAGGAGGAGGCAGAAAGCTGAGGCAGAAAGCTGAGGCAGACGACTGCGAGGGTCATGTGCATCCAACAGCCATGCCAGATGTCGGCAGGTGCAAACATGAGAGCGTGCGCCAAACCCACCTGTGCGCCAGGCTCGGCTCCAAGGTCATAAACCACACTTCCATGTCCCCCAGGTCGCATCAGAATCCTCTGCTGCAGGTCATCGCCAGGCACGTCACCATCTTCAAGCATCCCTGCAGAAATACAATTCTGAGTGCCACACAGTGGCGACTGCGAGAGCCCTGCGCCTTCAAATCCGGCCCCGGGATTGCCCTTCTGCTCCCTTTGGCCCTGGTCCTTATGCGAGACCTCACACCCCCAGCGATCCCCACTTGCCGCCATGTTTGCCCGCTCCCGCCCTCCGGGCACCTCCAGCAGCAGTGCCGGCTCATTGCGCGTCAAATCAATGCCGCCTGTGGAGGGCGGGGCGCCATTCCTGCCTGCCCCAACCATGGGGATCACGTCAGCTGGGTCCAGACGCCTCTGCAGTCTTGCTCCCAGCGGCTGTCCACCGACAGCTTGGGATGCCTGCCACAGCACCTGCGGCTGATGCAGGTACCCAAAAGACCTCTGCTGGGTCCTCTCGATCGACGCCCTCTGGCCCCCACGCGGCCCGTACCGGAGGCAACATGCCCTGCACCACTCCTGCAGCCCCGTGGTGTCCGCTGAGTTCCTGTAGAACCCCGACGCCGGTTTCACCACCGCGCACTTCGAGCACCTCTTCTCCAGCACGGACGGCAGGTGCCTGGGGCCCCCCTTTCTCGACTTCCCAGACCCCGTGGTCCACTGCTTCTGGCCGGACTTGGCCCTGGGTCTTGGGCCGTTACCCCTGGCGGCCAGCGGGGCTGGCCCCGTCTCCCAGCTCCTGTTGGCCTGCTGTCGGAGCAGCCTGATGCAGGACAGGCAGTTGTCAGAGAGGCCCTCGTGCTGGTGGGGATCCACCACAAAGGCCTCCGCC